AATTGAGACAACTAAGCAAGAAATGTTAATTTTTCTTTGATGTTCCAATCACTTTCAGCTTCCCCCAACTCAAGGCTTTCCTACTGCTCAAGAACACAGGAGAGATATCTTGACACTCATATAAAATCAATAAAGGACAGAAATCAGTTGAGATGCAGATGGTAGCTGATAGATAGGCAGCTAGCAGGCTATATCACAAAATGGCTAAGAGGGATGCAAAGTTAGTTAAGGGAGTAACAACTAATGAGTGCCTGACTGCAGAACAGCCTTTATTCTGATGACCTTCCAATAAACTGCTTGGAACTACTGGTGATGTCTCACTGCTCTCCCTTTGTAAACTCTAGTTCTCCTCCCTTCCTCCCAAGTCCCTTTTTTCCTGAGAGCCAAGTTCTTTATGACAGAACCCCACTTCTTATGAAAAGCAACTTAAACCTTCTAACTATTCCATTATGTGCATCTCCTGCAGCTCTCCCTCCTTTCTGGGGGAGACAATGTGCTGTTACTCCTTCATGGTTCTGAGGGTGGTATTTTGGAGGACATCTTACAGAAATCAATCTTCCTTTGCACATCTGTTGAAGAGGCTCGAGACTCCTGGGTGTTAGTTTGTCTCCTAAGCAAGAATGGCAGTCCCTATTTTTTTTTCCCCTTTGTTTGCTTTTTTATGAATGCCTCACTTCTCCTATCTCAAGATCTCAGAGTGGCTGCCAGGTGGGTGGATAGAATCACTGACGTACAGCCTTAGGTGAGTCAAAAATAAATACCACAAATTTCAGCAATCATTTCTCCATCCCTTCACCAGCCAGTAGCAGCAAACACTGGTACAGACCCACCAGTGCTCCGCTACAAACCAGATTTTCAACGAGCCCTAAGTGGTATCAATAAAGCACAGTTCAGTTGCTTTGTTGATCCAAGTGCATCAGAGCTCCTGCTTCTCTCCTCCAGCCACAGCGGAGTCCGACGCAACAGGAACTTTGCTGCTTCCAGCAAAAACAGTTTCAAAAGCTGCCTCCTGCTCCTCTAAAGTCACAGCAGCAGGGGCTCCTCTGGCAGCTGTGCTGGGAAAGGCTGGCCGCTGCTCCGCAATCCTCTCCAGGTCCACTGTTCTCCTACCTCTTCTTTTGCCCAGGATTTTGATGTAATTAGCTGGCACAAGTCCTGTTGTTTGGCCATCGTAACTAGCCAGGAGCCAACCACGGATCTTGGGTTGTTGTTCTGAAGAAGAGAATGCAAATGCATCAAGTTACAGGAGAATCCAACAAAACTGAACAAATCTACTCTGTAAGTTTTACTAGAATGCAAGTAATCACTTCACGCGGACTAAGTATCAGTGTGGATGAGGAACTTGGTCAAATAAGGTGCTTTGGGGGCTTTTTTGTTTCAATTTTCTGCCTCTTGCACTATAACTTCACATGTGATGAGAAAAAGAAACAGAAATTTAAGTTTACCTTTGGGTGCTAATCTCAGCATGTCACCAGCACGGAAGGAAATTTCTTCTTCTGAGAGAGCATTGAAATCATATTCTGCTCTTCCAACTACATGGTCGTCTTCTCCACTCGCCCAGTTACTAGACACTGTTTTCAAACAAAAATCACAAGTTTATCTGCTTTGAGTTACAAAGTTTGGTATGTTTTTCAAAGGAAAATGAAGAAACTTCAACTTCCTTGCTAAAACTTTTCCAATGGAGAAGTGACAGAGGTAACATGAAAAGCAAGATTTGGGGAGCAAATCCAACCAACACTTGTCCCACCCAACCCAAACTGCCACATCTAATAGGAAGGAACCAGCATGATTCTGGAATCACAGAAAGCTTCAGCAGGAAACCACATCTTGACAACAGGTTCCTTAAGCAGGCTGCATCACCTGCCTAAAATTCAACACTGTGCCCCAGCATCTATTAATTACTATTGCTGCAGTGTGAGACTAATCACCACACAGGCAACGCCAAAAGGAATGATACACGCTGCACTTCTCTGGTGCTGCAGGTCATCTTTACCTGTTTCTTCCTCACTGTATGTAGAAAGCAGCTTCCAAATCAGGTAGGGACCTCCCAAGATAACAGCAAAGAACAAGAAAATGGGCCAGGATTTCGCAGAGTTAGCCACCTTGTCTTCAAGGCCAGCACGAGCTACTTTGCCCTCGCTCTCAGCCCACAAATCCTCGTTGTCGCAGCTCTGCCTCAGACCCAGCAAGCGCTGCAGGCGCTGGTACAGGTACCTTACAGTTCTCACTAGAGCAAAAGCTGAGAACACCTTGGTGAAGTGAATTTTGAGGCGGGAGAAGTGGTTGGCCACATCCAGCACGGCCCTGAAGCTGTTGTAGACAGCGGAGAAGGTGGCATCCATCATCATGCTGACCGAGGCGAAGGCGTGCACGATGCTCTCGATGGACTGGAAGGCGCCTCTGCTGCTCTCCTCGGCCTGCTGCACGAACCTGCTGGGGGGAATGCTGTCGGCACAGAAGCGGTTATAGCCCAGCCCTCCGTAGCCGTAGCTGTAGGGACTGTAGCTTCCGTAGAAAGAGGTGCCATAGGAGCCATAGCCTGGGGAAAAGGAGCTGCTGTAGGCTGGCCTGAAGGCGCTCAGGCTGCTGCTTGCCGTTTGCTGGGAAGGTCTTGGCAAAACGGGCGGAGGGATTCGTGCCACCGTGGGCTGGCCGGGCCTGGTCAGCAGGTTGTCACCCAAGTCAGCAGACCTAAACCAATTCAGACAACCAAGATCAGCACCCAGAGTTAAAGTTTTCCTTTGCACTGACTCCTAAACACCACAGAGGGTTTCAGCAGTGCGGGGAGAGGCAACCTGGGAGCCCAACACTCAGTACGTTGAACAGGGTTTGATGGAAGTGAAAGACCTGGACAGGAAACACAGATCCTTCAGGGGGATAAAACCCCCAGAACCAGATATCCAGTGCAAACATGGAACTGGAATGTAAACATGGAAACAATGTAAGCATGGAAACAATGCAAACACGTTAAACCCTTGCCTGTTTATTGTGTATTTAATGTATCAACCCATGAAACACACAACCCAGAGCCCTCAAACCTGCTGCCCTAACACCCAGGTCATTCTTCTGCACATGAAAGCTTCTCATGGGCCCTAACACGAACTTCTATGAACTTTCCAATATAAAAGTTTTATTTCCAGCCCTTGTTCCCAGCTCTTCTATACAATGAGCCAATGATAGACCAGGAAGAAAGCTTGAGAGCTCCTCTGAATCCACTCTTAAAGGGTGGCATGACCTAACTGGGAATCCAAGTAATTATGCAACAATATGTGCAAGGGCTTTGGGGTCTCCAATTTCTCCCTCTACCCAAACTACCTAATTACCTGTGTGCAGGTTTTCAAGGGGTTAAATCTACTACTGAGAAGTGTTAGCAGAGAGAGGTCTTAATTTAGTAATTTTTCTTTTCCTTTGCATGCCCTTCCTAATAAAACTCTGGAAGTACTTGACTGGCATTTGAATTCTGTCAAGCAGCTTTTTGTCCAGCTTCTGCCAGTTCAATACAAATATATGTGTTTTATTCACACACTAGCACCCTAAAAGTCAAATATTCTATTTCCCATGCTTACTGCCTCGACCCACAACTTCCCACTTCTGCAGCCCAGGAAAAAAAGAAGGATGTCAAGCTGGAATTGCTATGGAGCTGCTGCTTGCTGTACTATTCCCATACAAGGTAGGGAACAGCTTCCTCTCAGTAAAACTTACAGGTTTCCACAGCAAAGAATAATATTTGGATCTTTACACTGCTGTTTTTTCCATCACAGACTGTAACTCTCTTATTACCCTAGCAAACACAGTTAGTGTAATTCAGTCACACTGCAGCCCTCTGTCCATTAGACAACTTGGACACCCCGCTTCAAAGCTGCCTGAAGCCCTTTAAAATGGGGTAAATAAACCCAGAATGAAAAACCAACACCACCAAACTGCTGGCTCAGCACACTGCAGAGAGCACAGCGAAGTTTCTGCTCAGTGTTTCGTGCTGGGCCAACCTTTTGCCCAGTTTCAGCTCCCTCCAACTGCAATCACCAGCACCGAGTGAAAAACAAGGCGAGTATTCAGCCAGCCAGCCTTCCTTGGCTTCCCATAAAAAAGAAGGAGCTGACAAACACTTTCTGTGCATCCTTCTCCACCAGCAGGTTGGGTTTTCTGGGAGATCTCCCAGAAGACGGGAACACACACACGAGACTGACAACACACAGGGATCGTTTCCAAGCCCTGGGGCTGACTCCTTAAAAGAGCGAGTTTGGCTGCAGCTCCCCTCGTCCTGCAGAGGCTCGGGGGCTACAGAGCTGCAATGCCCTCAGGAAAGGGCCGTGAGAGCCCTCAGGAAAGGACTGTGAGTGTTCCCAGGAAAGGACTGTGAGTGTTCCCAGGAAAGGACCGCGAATGCCGCCAGGGAAGGACTTCTAATCCTCCCAGGAATGGACTGTGAACTGACTCTACCCCCGGCGACAACACGGCTTTCCCTTCCCCACACCGCACACGCAGCTTCCCCCTGCCGCCAGCGGGGTTTGAGCTCCAAGCCCCGCACGCCGAGCCCGCCCGTCCCCGCCCGCCGCAATCCCCTCACGGCGCGGGGCAGCCCGGCCGGGCCCGACCTTCGAGCCCGCCCCAGGGGAGCGGGCCCGGCCGGCCCGAGGGGACGAACCCCCAGGGCCGCCGCGGCGGGGACGCCCGGGGAGGGACGGCCGCACTCACTGGAAGGCGGTGGCGGTGCCCGGCAGCCGCCGCGACTCCCAGGGCTTGGGCGGCGGCGTCGCCGCCATCGCGCCCCCTCGGCCCCGTTCGGCCCCGCTCGGCTCCGCTTCGGCCTCGCTCGGCTCAAGTTCGACCCCGGCTCGGCCTCGCTCGGCCCCGCTCGGTTCGGGCTCGGCCTCGCTCGGCCCCTCCCGCCGGCAGGCGCCACGCGGGAGCGCCGAGCTATTCCACCAGCCGCTCTACGGGCGCCGTGCCCCGCCGCGCCGGCCGAGCGATGCGCTCTGCCGCTCTGCTGAGCGGGTCTGTGCCGGCTCCGCGGGCCGCCGAGCGAGGGGTGAGCGGGAATGGGAACGGGAAAGAGAACGGGAATGTGAACGGGAATAGGAATAGGAACGGGAGCGGGAATAGGAATAGGAACGGGAACGGGAATAGGAATAGGAACGGGAACGGAGCCGGGACGGGGCTCCCGTGCCCCCCTCCCCTCACAGACGAGGCTCTGAGCTCCCCCTGAGGTGCCGGGCCGGGGGCCGCGGTTCCTCCCCTCACGTTGCCACCAAGCGTCGGGAATATTGTCACATTTACCCGCGTGTGTCGGTATTTAAGTCGCGTGGAGGCGAATTGAGGTCGCGCTTACCTAAAAGCCTGTTTGTTGGTGTTTGTTCTTTCCCTTTAAAAGCAGCTTTGAAGTTTTCCAGGCAGCCCTTGGTTTTTGCAGCTTACCCTAAAGCAGCCAAACCCAGGACTGAAGGAATTAGTTTAATTAATCACTTTTCCCCATGGCTGCAGGACTCCTGTGTAGGGTACTCCTGAGCAGGATTGGGTATTGCAGGTGTGCCGGTGGCTGGCATGGAGAACATGGATAAATCCCATTCCTTGGGACACAAGGAAAGTATCAAGTGTCCCTTACAGGAGCCAAGCCCAAAGCAAAGCCAGGTGGTTCATTAGTGCTGTGAATTCCTTGCTGACTCGTTAAACCTTTGGTCTGAACAATTGTGGTTGTCCTTACGTGCCTCCTGAAATTTCCAAGATGCCCAGTAAGGGTGAGCACCTCACTGGGAGTCTCTCTTCTTCCAAAAAAAATGCTGAGTTCACAACATTTTGGCCAGAAAAACCCAAACAAACCGGTGTTTTCTACAGTTCTGGGCAGAGAGAATGACAGGTAACCAAATGAGCCATGATATTTTAGGGGTGAAAAAAAAGCTTAGTGAGATTTCTCACAAAAACCATGAGTTCTGTATTGAGAAGGGAAATGAATCTTTATTTTATAAATCTTGTTTATAAATACTGTTTTTCCCTTGTGATTTTAGCACACTGATTCTTTAGTCACTGCAATTTGAGGAGGAATTCCCATTTTAAATTTGCCTTAATGTCCCTTAGCTCTTTCAGTCAAGATTAGCATGTCATGTACTTTATCCAAGATAAAACTGGGCAAAAGCTCAGCATTTCCTTGTCAGAACTCAAGTTCAGGTTTTCTAGGAAAAACCTAACAAATACAGAAGCTTTTCCTCCAGTCAGTTGTTTTGTTTTGTTTTTTTTTTTTGGGGTTGATCTTCCACTTCTCCCGTGCCTGTGATTTAAAACAGACACCCCAAGTTTTCTCTAGAGGCCAACAAAAACTTCCAGTTGCTCTAAACGTGGTGCAGTTACTCAGCTGAGCACTTTGCTTGTTCTCAGCTTTCCTTTTTCCCCTCTCTGTGCTGAATTTCAGGTTTGCCCAGCATGTCTCCAGTGGCAGAGAAGGACAGGCCAGTTGTGGAGCTCCTGCTGGAGGCTGGCACGTGCCCACGCTGTGTGCTGAGGTTCTGCTGCGTGGGCTCCCAGCTGCTCTACAGACACCCAGCCCAGGTCTGTGCTGGAAAAGGAGCTGTGGAAAACTCTGCTCGTGCCTTTAATGGGAAGGAAATTTAGGTGGAATGGCAGAATTGGTATGCTGAAAGAATGGCAGGGGAGGATTGTTAATTACCTGAGGATAAATCAGAGAAACAGGGTGTTGTTAGACATCCTTCTTAGCTTACTCTAACCCCCTGTCTCTGTGTCTGTCTTGGTTGTTCTACCTTTGCTCAAGTTTAGACTCTCCACAATTCATTTTTAACATCTTTCTTCCCTGTCCTTTTCCATTTTTTATCAATTATTTGAGGAGTGTTCGTTCATTGTGCCGTTTTTTTATCCTTTTGCCTCTCTACCTGATTTTCCTCTGAGTTGCAACAGCACAGTAACTGCTCTCTTCCTTACTGAAAGCCCTTAATGAATCCTTCTTCCTGAGCTACCTCTTGTCTCTCATCCTTGCAGGAATCAGAGACTGCAGGTAATTGTTAATTTTTGAAGGCTTCTCTCCTGATACAAAGCTCTTACTCTGTGTGTTGAATTGCACCCCCACCTGTGTCTGCTGTCTCTTCTTTTTATTGTAGTGGCCCACTCTCTTCCTGTTGAGTTGAAGGAATTAAGGAGTTGAAGGAATTAAGTTCTAACATGGCAAGAAAGCACTAAATGTCTCTTTTCATGGGATAGTGTTGGGGCAAAGATAAAAGTGTTTCTGCAAGGCAGGTCTGGAAAACGTTTTCACTCTTGGATGATAAACAAGTCTACTCAGCACTATTTTCTCTGGAAATTTCTATCCTGAGAGCAATGCAGCTTGGAGCTGTTGAACTGTGTCTTAAAGATGTCTTTGGGCATAAATTCCGTGTTGTTAATGCCATACACTGAGCCTCAGCTGGAACAGTACTGCCCTGTGCTTGTTAGAGAGGAGCAAACAACCAGGGTGTGTGTCCTCTCTTTGTGTCAGGATCTGCTGAAGGATCTGCAGGAATTTCTGAAGAACAGCCAGGAGAAGGAAGGCACAGGCTGTTTGGATGTGGCTGACCCACCCTGTAAGAGAATCAGGCTTGAGCACAGCAAGGAGGAAGGTGCTGATGACCTGACCCACAACGGGGCTGTCCCACAGCTTCCCTCAGCTGGGAATGCTGAGAGCTCGGCTGGCAAGGTTTGCAACGTGTGCTTGGGGGTTCTCCAGGAGTTCTGTGAAGCTGACTTTGTTAAAAAGGTACATTTTTCACATTTTGGGGGGGTACTTTTTTGGAGTTTGTGTCTGCTGGGGCCTGCAGGATGGAGCTGGTGACTGAAAACACTGAGCAGTTTTTTTTGTTGTTTTTTTTTTTTTTTTCAAAAGAAATGTTTTTTCTTTTTTAGTTGCATCTGTGGTAGCACCAAATTTTGCCCAGGCTTTGTAATAGTGGCACTTTTTTGAAAAGAAACAGCAGTGCAGGTGCAATGGAATGACTGCAGGGAGCACACTTCCCTAAGAAAAGGACTAGCAGCTGTGTGGTTACATGGATTTAGGAGATGACCTGAGCTGCTTTCAAGGAAAACCTCAGTGGAGCTCTGAGGAACTCTTCACTTTTTATGTGACAGGAAAATGAGGAGTCATCAAGTGAACCACATGTTTCTAATAACAGCATGAACCTGTCTTTATGAAGTACCACGGGGGAAGAAAATGTTGTGGTGATGCAGCAGACTGTGGATATTAGAGAAAATGTGAGTTAGGAGAGAATGTGGGCACAGAGTGTTGCAAATGCCATCTCTGAGCAATTGTACTGCTCATGTGAGCAATATCAGCTAGACATTTCTAGCTGAAATATCAGCTAGAAAACTCACACTGGCATCTGAGATATTTAACAGAGTTTTGATAGAAAAGGATTTGATTTAATAGCAGGAATGTATCAAAAATGGGACTGGACAGAAAGCATAACACAGTTTCTGTTGCTGCAGAACATAATTGTCTCTTTTTTGTTTCCATGGGCAGAATTTGTATCTTTTTACAGAATCCACTGCTAAGATTTGTTTCAGAGCTGCTCTTTTCAGCAGTTGTTAAGGCACCACAAAACCTACTTACTTGATACAGAAATTTCCTTCTCTGAGATGCTGATTTCACCTAAAATTTCAATATACAATTGGTCCTGGCCTTAGAAGAGTGAGTTTGGTTGTTTCATAGCACCAAGGGTACTGTTGATTAATAACTTTTTTTAACAGGACAGAAAAGCTTGTGTTTCAGTAAGTTGTTAGTGATTGCTCTGGTTTGTATGTTGGGCATCTCTCTGAGTGTGTGATAACATGAATTCACAGTGATTATTCTAGAACAAAAATTAGCAGCTCAGTCCCATTGCTGTGGTTTTATATTAAGCTCCTTCTCTTACAGGTGTGCCAAAAAGTTAATTCTGCAGACTACCAGTTCACCAGTTTTGTATTTTCTGTGTCACTACCCCCACAGCTGTCTGTCAGGGAGGTAAGTAACTGAAATAACAACTTAAATAATTAAATACATGTTTAAGAAAGTAACTGTGGAATGTATGAGCTGGAGGTGGTTTGATTTTTAATTGTTATTGTTTAAAAAAACCCAAAAGCCCATGCTGGAAGTGAAGTCTGCTCTCCCCTTCCTTCTGGGTGAGCATTACTGTAATTAACAAAGGGCCTGAGTCACTCCAGCTTTCAGTTAGCCCAGGAATTACTTTCCATCTGAAGACCTAAAGGAGTTTGTTGAAACCCTCAGTGAATTGTTCCCTTTGGTGCAGATGCCAGCCCTGTTTTGTGGATCTTCTCAGAGACAGAGCTGCACAGCTGGTCCCTTTCCAGGGATAAAGGAAAATTGGCAGTGCAAAATGCAGAGGAAGGAATTTGAGGATGAACTCTTGAAGTGTTCAGCATTTTAAATGATGGGAAAATACACTTAGTATTTTGCAGTCTTCCTCTGCTTTCTGATATAAAATGATGCAGAAGTACTGTTCTAAAGGTGATGCAAAAGTGGTGTTTTGAAGGGCAGCATGTAAATCTGTGCAGGAGATGCCTGCAGTGGTTGAGATGTGGTGGAAGCTGCAGTGAACATGGCAGGAAGAAGAGCAGATGGTGTTGGATTTCTGTGTAGAGCTGTGGTGAGGTCTCTTCTGCTCCCACACAGTTTGGTAATAATCACTGCACGTGTGCTGTGATTTGTGCTGTTAGCTGGGGCATCCTGGGCAAGTGCCACTGTAACAGCTGACAAATATTCCTCTCCTAAATCTTCTCCAACATGAGATTCTCTGCTTCCCACCTTAAATTTGGCATAGTTGGTGTGTTTGCTTTGTCCTTTCTGGCTGGGTGAACTTCCCTGATTCCCACTGTGGGTTTTGATGCCTCCAAAAGATGATGTCTGTCAAAAAGCACTTTCAGGCTAGGTGAGTATTGGGATGTCCTGGCAAGCCCCAAACTTAGGTCAGACTTTACCGAGTTTTAGTGCAGCTTTAAGCCTGGTGTAAGCTGGGCACCAGGAGCTCCTGATGTTTGCAGGAAGGCTCGGTAGAGGGTGGTGTTGCATTGCAGTTCAGCTGAGGGATGTCCTCGCTGCCTGGGGCTCGTGTTCCAGCGAAGCAGCAGAGCTGGGGACAGCCAGGGGAGTCAGAGCTGCTCTGTGGGCCCACAAATCAATAGATGGAGTGAAATGAGTGAGTAGGAAGCTCCAAAAGTGGGTGTGTTCCCTTTGGAAGCACTTCTGGTTCGGTTAGGAGAAGGTTTGGATTAAGAAGTTCCTGCTGTCCCTTCTATTCCATCCCTCCAGTCTGGTCAAATGCTGAAGCAGCTGTTTGCTCCAGCTGCAGGGGTAAAAAGAGGTGATGGTGGAGGAAGAACTTTAAAAATCATGGGGCTTTATTTACCTCCTCTCTGTTTATCACTTAAAAAAATAAGTGAGAACCTGTTTTATAGCCACAGAAAAGCAGCAACACACATGTAATAATGTCTGAAAATACCCAAACCAGGTATCAGAATATCTCAACATGCTTGGTGCTGAAAAGAGGCCATTTGTTAAATTCTCCTTTTAATTCTTTGACCTGCTGTGTACAGGAACATGTGGAATACTGTCATCAAAGAACACCCAAAGGTAGCCTCTCTCCCACTGCCCTCTGGTGTGACACACAGATTCTCTCCATCATCTTTTTTAACACAAAAAATCAGAAACTGCCTCTCAGCATTACCTCCATCTCATTTAATTATGACACTTGTCATCCTGCCAAGTCTGAAATGTACGAGGGGAGCTGGAGAGGAGCGGGACATAAAATCCACATTTGCGTAGTATTTGTATCTGTGATGCAAGGAAGCAATTGCCTCCTTCCACAAGTAGGAGATTTGATTGAAATAAATCATAAATAGAGGAGTCCCCAGTTTGTGTCAGACAGCTCTATTAGGAAGAGAGGTGAGTGGTGCCCTTCAGAAGGGTGGCTGCTGCCTCTGCTGTGCTCTCAGTCGTGATCCATCATCCTGGTGCTTGCTACAAGGACATTGATGCAAATAACATCTGTAGTCATTACTCCCTGTAGGGCTGCCTGTGCCTCATCCTGGAATTCCCCATCTCCAAGCTCTCTGCTAATGCACTGAACAATGCTGGGGCTGGGACTGCACGTGGTATTTCAGCTGTTGCCACTGTGCTCCCTCAGATAGCACCAGAATAATATCCTGCAGCTCCTAATCAATACAGTGCCTGGGCTGGTGTGTTCCTGAGATGTGTTTGCTGCTGAGCATTGCCCTGCAGGCTTCAGCTCTGTAATGAGCATTTTTCATTTTCAAACCACTTCACAAACATGAAGTAATTAGGAAGTAGAGGGATCTGATCCCCTGCTCCACGTTCAGCTGGGAGAGAGTGCAGGGGTTTGGCTGGCTTGGTGGTTGAATGCAATTTGGAATTTGGGATCTTTTGGCTTCTGTGCTTGCAGTACCCTCATCTATTGTTTCCCCTTAATTGAAGGGGAAAAGTAATTTCTTTAATTCTCTTTCAGCTTGGAAGTCAAGAGAGAGAGGAGATGAAATTTGACCTGTGGTCTCATTTTAGCATAGCTACTCCCATGCAGAAGTTTTGTCTGTTTTGTAGTTTTTTCCCAAGAAAACAGGGAAGAGGAGTGTGATGAGCCTCCCCCTGAGCTCCAGACATCCCAAACCTGCAAGTGCTCTAAATCAAGGCATGAGAGAGGTTTCTTTGTAAATTGGCATTTGTCACATGCAGCTTCCTAGGCCCAGTTGAGTGGTTGCCACATCCTGTAGTTCAGAGCTACATTCAAGGAATTTCAGTGGAAGCTATTTTTATTTATGATTTTATCTGGGTTATTATGCAAACAGGATTACAATATACTTCTAGTGAAGCAGCCTTACTCATCCTGTCTTCAAATGCAGGATGATGAATCACAGTGGATTTGAGCAAACAGCATTTCATCACTACAACTGCATTTGTTTTGTTCAGCAGTGTGAGGGTTTGTGTATCGTGGATCTAACATAGTTCATGTCCTCTCTCCACCATCCCTCTTCCCTCTTAATTCCTCTGGCACTTTTTAGGGTTATTCCCTCATTCTTTTAGGTGTACCAAATGAAGGATAACAGACTTATTTTGTTGGTTGAGTTCCTTATCAGCATGGAAAAGGGATCTATGATGTGGTTCCTTCTGATATCCCTGTGATCCTGAAGTTTGAGAGCTGTTTACAAACCTTTTCCTCAGAAGTATTTCCTTGACAATGCACAGTGATTCTTTCAGCAGAGTTTGGGGGAGGTGATTCTTGAAATACATGAAAAATAAAAGATGGGGAAGGGGTTTAAAAGCCTGCAGCCTCCAGACTGAAAACTGGTTCATTGTGGTGCATTCAAAGCAAAGAACTTGATTTTTGGAGTTTGTCTCCAGTGAGGAGGCTGACACAGGCTGAATTGGTTAAGTGCTTTCCTGCCAGTCCTAGTGTATTTTTTTAGTAGAGGAGAACTGAAACTGTTGTTGTTCTTCATTGTAGGAAGTTCTGAGGGGAATTTTTCTCTTTTTACTAATTGTTAGTGAACTCTAGCATTTGTACTGAAAGGTCCCTCTGATTTCTAGAATCATTCTTTCTGTTCCTCCCCTTTTCCATGTTTAGCCTCTTCACCTAAACTAAGTGGTGTGTTTTAAATAAGGGGGCAATTCTGTGATTACCAAGACCAAGTATATTTTTAATTCAATTTTTTAAATAATGGATGATAGCTGAATTTGAGGTTTTATTAATTTATGTCAATCAGCTTTTATATCCCATTCATTTAGACACTTTTTTAAAAAAATTTCTACTTGGAAGATAACTGATGACTTAGAGTCTTTTTGTAGTTACAGTATTAATAGCAAGTTTCAAAGTGTTCAATGATGCCTCTTTTATTTTTTAACCCAGATAGGATTTGATGTGAAGAACAAAGTGATGTCTTAGAAATAGGATTTGATGTGAAGAGCAAAGTGATGTCTTAGAAATAAAAACTCACAGCAATTCCATCTTTCCACTTCTGAAGCAAAAGCTAAATTCCTGATACTTTATTTTTGGTCAGGAATTTTCAAAACACTTCTCCCTTTGCAAAGAGCCTCTCAGATTGTTGGGAGTTCTGAGCCTTAATTTCACTTGCTTTTGTTTTTTCCTCTCTTTTCCCTGGGCATGGCTGGTGACCTGCAGCGTGCTGCTTGGCTGGGGGTGAAGCAGCAGATGAGGTGAGCCATTGCTTTTGCTGTCTGTCTGTCTGTCTGTCTGACAAGAGCTCTTCATACAGACACCATTTCTCTACATTAATGTTGATTTATAGTCCCATTTGCCTGGTGCTTACAAAGAATAAGGTGGCAGCTGGGTTTTGTGGGTTTTGTTTTTTTTTCTTTTTTACCTGGTTTGACCTTACTTGGGGTTTCTTATCTCTTTTGCTCTCTAAGTTCCCAAACAAGTGGTTTGAAATGCATCTCTCCCTTCCTCAGCTTTTCTCTGGGCAGCCTCTGGAAAGACTCTTGCAACTTTTGATCTCCCAGCAAGTTCTGGCATCAGTTTCCTCAGTGCACAATAAAAATAAAAAAAAAAAAAAGAACCCATTTTATTTGGCAGTAGCTACTGAAGTTCCTCTTGAAATCTTGTATGTTGTGCATCTATTTTTGACAGACCCCTGTGCAAGTTATTATTTCTTTGTGATTCAGAAATCTGGGCCTTCCCTTGGCAAAGGATGACATCGTTCAGCTGAAGGAGGCTTATAAGTGGATTATTCACCCCCAGCTGTCAGAAGAGTTGGGTGTTCCTGCTGATGGAAAGGTCTTGTATAAATAGCAGAACACTTTTGTCTTTGTTTCTTCACTCTTTTTTATTATGTGTTTTGTGTGTATCTTTATAAACTTATGCACATGGTGGGGAAATGAATTGTATCCTTTTTACCTTATTAAGAGAGAAACAAGATGAGTGCCTCCTAAATTCACTGTAGGGAAGAGCAGGGGGGAAGTTCTTTTAACCAGAGCTCTCCAAGTGGGAGTCCTGAGGGGCCCAGTGTTCATTTTGTCCACACAGGTCATTGCATCTTCTGAAACCACCAGAGGCTTGTGCTAAATCTCGTGTGCCATCCTCCTTTTGGTAATGAGACTTTTCCAGTTGTCTCCTGTTCCAGGATCCCTGTTTGGCAGAGGCTGAGGAATGCTCACACATTCCTTCCCTGCTCTGCTGTCACTGCCAGCACTTGTTCAGGTTCTGTGGATGAAATGAATGTCTGAAATGTACTGAAAGAGAAAAGACTGGTCCTCGTTCACTCTGATGAACACTGGAAATGGGCCTGTTGGGACCTGCAGTGTCCCTAAGTAGGCAGTGGAAATGGTTTTTTCAAACTGTTTTCAACTTGCAGATTCTGATTAATATCCTTAAAATCTTTCTGAAAGGCAATGACTGAACATGACAATCAAGTGTTGCCAAATTCAGAAGCACTTTGAGTTGTCTTGAATGTAAATTTTCTGCAGTCGTGGCTGGCTGTAGGTTCTACTTGTCACCAGCCATAGCACTGACCCCAGGACTAGATTCACTTAGTCTTCATGTTGATTTGTCAGCTTCCATAATAATTACAGGCTGTGTTTTCCCAGGAGTGCCAATTGAAAGCATCCCTTTTGTCTTAGGGAAGAAAAAACCCACTCAGTTACTCTGAAGGTGATCCAGGAAGAAACAAATTTCTTACACACCAAGTTAGCAAAAGCTCCCCACCACTTAGGCAGGAGCCACTCCAGACATCCCTGTGCCACAAAACTTGTTTTTCTAGTGCCCTTTATCTACAAGGCCCTTGAATATTAGCCAATCTTTTCAATAGCCCTCCTGAGGTGTTCTGGTATCTGAGTAACAGAAGTAATGAGTGTTGTTTGCCCAAGGCCAGAGAGGGAATTGGGGGAAGAATTGAGATTACGCTGGAGTTCCTGGGCTAGCTGTCAATCCAGCAGGACGTGTTGCCTTGCTTTGCCCCAAGGCCATGCAGGCACTGCAAAGGAAGCCCCTGACAAAATGTTACAGTGGTGATACTGCAGGGTTTTTATCTTTATTGCACTCCTGGGAGGGCTCTGGGCTTTAGTGACCCTAATAGGCTTTGAGCCTTGGCTGCCTCTGCCTCCCCTGCACAGGATGGGACCAGTGCAGGTCACTGGTGGCTCTGAAGTGTCAGCCTTGGTGACTTCAGAAAGGCAAATGCTGCCCTGGCACACCTTGCAATGCCTTTAAACATAAATGAATGGGTTGTTCTCTCTTTTGTCTCTGCTGTTTTCCTACAACTGCAATCTGAGTGCTTGAGAATATCCTCGCTGGTTGTTTGAAAACCTCTTACCTCCTCCTTGTTCTTTTTTCTTCTTTTTTAATTTAGAGTTTGTTTGAAGTTAGCGTGGTCTTTGCTCACCCAGAAACAGACGAGGAGTGCCATTTCCTGTAAGTTTTTCTACATGTAACAAAAGATCTTTATCTAAATGTTGTGCAACATTGTTGGTTTGGATTTGTTACAGAGGACAATATGCAGTGTTTATAAACTAGAATGTGGCCTGCATCTAGATTTCCTCATATCCACATGAAGTTGCAGAGCTTGAAGTTAAACCATCTCTGGTTAATTCTGCCAATTTAAAAAATCATCTGGAATTCTGATTTGAACTGGAGGGAGAGCATTCAGATAAGTTCTTCAATTTCAGCCCTCCTCAAAGTCATTCCCTGTATAACTTTTAAAAATGTGAACCATGTAATTGCAGGTGGGGGAATCTTTTGAGGTCTTACCTAAGTTTTCCTGCTCCTGTAGGACACATGGACAGGAGGAAAGGCTTTGAAGTGAATTAATCCAGCACAGCTGGTTGATGAAAACAGACAGAAATTCCCTGGCCACTGCACACAGCCCCTGGCCTGGCTCTGTAGGGCACCTGCTGTACACAAAGAAGCAAAACAGTTCTGTGAATTTAGCTGCCATTTAATCTGATTTCTCAAAATCTAGCTGTAGTATATTCTGGAAAATTCGGGTCACTCTTCCTGTTTGTTGATGCTTCCTGGAAAACCTAAAGTTTCACTCAGTTAATTTGCAACTACTGCAAGTGAAATCTTAGCATGGAAGGAGGCTCAGCAGAGACGTCTCTGTTGAAACGTGAATTCATTTCTTGAGACTGGAGATTTCTCTTGCAGCCTTTATTTATTTCCTGATTTCTCCTCTGGCCATTTGTGATCTTTGAGTGCTCAATCCACCACCTTCTTGGTTTTCCACAGCTGCATCTTCTGTTTATCTTGAGGTGAGGCATGAGGGAATGGAAGTTTGGGAAGGAACCAGTATTAGAACAATTATTATCAGTGTTTGTTCAACAGCTTTCCTTTCCAGCTTCTTCAAGACTGGGCAAAAGAGGGAGAAAATTGTAGGGCCAAGCCACTGTTCTAAATAATGGTTGCTGCAATCCTGTAAAGAACTGAATTTTTCTGCATCCTGCACCCTTTTGTTCTAATTTATTTAATTTTACTTTCTTCCTCTGAAACCTCTTCACTGGTATTTTCTGCTCATCCTTCCATCCTTTTTCTGGCATTTCAGGAATATTGCTGTTGAACATGTTATGGTGCCAGTGTTAGTGCTCCAAGCAGAGCAGTTGCAGAGGGGAAAGCTGTAAAGAAGTTCCATTCCACTTTCCAATTACTCAGTTTATTCCATGTGACCTGACAATATCCCTTTATTTGCCTCCTCTTTGTAGCACACTTAAACAGCAATTAAGGTTTGAGACACTGTCTGAAGCAGCAGCACATCACCTAATTTAATTACACAGTAGTTCCTGAGGTGCCAGGGCATTCTGCTTGTGTGAGTGGCTGGCTCTGGGCACATTCTGAGGCAGTGCTTTGGTTTTCATGTAAATATGGTGAATTTGGGAATTATCCCAGTAGTAGTGACAGTCATGGTTTCTGTGGAAGCAAAGCAGGACTTTGTCTCAACCTGGAGAGCTCCAGGTGTGCTTTTGGATTGGATTTCCAAGCATGGCATCTGCAGTTTCTCACCTGCTCTTACACAGTTGTGTGGAGGTGGGTGTGGTGAATGGTTTGACAAGGAAGATTGAATTGGCTCTTGTCAGTTCATATTTAAGGGTAAGGTGACACTGAAATTTTGGACGAGGGAGTTTGCATTGCTTTGGGTCACAGACTGCCCAGGAAAGTTGTTTGTATAGAAACAGCAAAACCTGCTTCCTTAGAGTGAAGGAGTTACAGAGGTGTTGAAAAGCACCAGCAAGTCATGATAATTTGGGTTGGAGGTCAGAAGTCTCTCTGCCTGCATACACAGAAATGCAGAAATCATCTCTGCCTGCATACACAGAAATGCACTAATAAGAACAGCAACTTCCTCTACACTGCTCAGAAAAAGTGTTTGTTTCACTGACTTGGCTTTCACTTTTGTGAAACAGCCAATAGTTTCCTTGCAAACAGGCAGAGCACAGCTCGTGGTGAGCACCTGGGGTTACTTTTTCAGTGGGAAAATGAATTTTCCTCTCCAGAAGGGACAGTTTGAATCTCAGGTTTCTGGTGGGCGTTGTCTAAGAGTGGCAAGTACAGATTTCTAGGGTCTTGCCTAGAACTTAAAATATTAATCATGACCTTTTTGAGAAGGATTGGAAAGGACTGAAAGCTACACTTGTGTGCTTTTCCATCCCATCTCAAATCAGAGACATGGTGTTGGTCAGAGCAGGAGAGCAGAGCTTTGTCCATGATTTCTCTGGACCAAGCAATGCACATCTTGCACCATTTGTGGTTTAGGATAAAGGGAATTTGAAAATCTGCTGTGAGCTAAGCTGTGGAAGTGAGACACTGGATGCATGTGTACAAAAACCATTTACATGCTGTGCCTGTGAGTCTGCCTATTTCTTTCTCTGTAAGAGGAGCAGCTAATTTTCATTTCTGTGTTTAGAGCCACAGCTTGCCCAGACTGTTTCAAACCAGCGAAGAACAAACAGGTAAGATCTCATCATTGTATTTCTGCTCTGGCATTCAGAATTTCACAGCAGCACCTACAACTTACCTGGGTATTCATTCAGTGCTCAGTGTCTGCTTTTCCTTCATCAAAAAGCTCTCTAGTTTCCAATTGTCTGAAAATAAAGTTGTCTCCTTTATTCACTTCACAATTCTCAGCGTAGGAGAACCAAGAGCTCGGTGCTTTTGTTTAGGTTGTTCACTTTCCAGGCTGTCCAAAGGCCATCGTTTTAGGAATGTTCTCTTTAAATACCTCCCTTAAGATGTAGGAATTTGATTGTCATGCATTAAAAGTAGCATAAAAGGTGATCCTCAAGCTCTCTGTGGGTGAAGCAGTTCAGATAAGTCACATTGTGAAGATGAGACTCGGCAGCCAAAAGGGAGATGATCACACTGCAGTTTTCATGTGCTCTGATCTGAGTGAAAGCCAGGATACATGCAGGATGGTTTTATCCTGCCTGCCTCTGGAGGAGGGGGGGAAAGAAAAGGGACCTTGCCACTTGCTGCAGACCCTGAGCACACTCAAAGCCACTGATGGAAAAGGGAACAGGTGAGGATAAAAACCAGTCAGAGGGAAACCGATACAAGTGGGACAGTTGGGGTGATCAGAGGGAGAACAAGTAACTCCTGTCAGAGGCCATTGCAAGACCTTTGATTCTTTCTGGTGAAGAGTCTGCCAACGTTTGGCAGAGGCAGAGTCTGGCCCAGGAATTCTGCTGACTCTACTCCACCTGACCAATAAGCACCACTCTTTTTTTAGCAGGGTTGTATTGTTAGAACTCACTGCTTGCTGCATTGCTGCCCTTTAAAAAAGAGGAAATCCCACATAAGGAGCTAAAGCAGCAGGGCCTGGCTGTTAAATCCATACAGGCAACAAAATGTAGGGGAATCTAAAGAAAAATACCAGCTCTGAAGAGCTGTCAGAGGTTTGTCCTCACAAAGAAGCTGAGCTTCAAGGGCTGTGGTAATCAGAGAAGTGGTGTAAAAACTGGCTTCTGAGGGAAAATTTCTGTGCTGTCTGTGTGGATAGTTATTTAAACCTGCTGCTGCTTTCAGGGCTTTCCTGCTCATCTGTTCTATGAGGAAGGGAAGTGCTATTATCTCTGATTTGTGCTTAGAAGGAGAAAGAGCAGCTTTCCTGAAAACACCCAGGAACTCTTCAGAGCTGAGACTTGAATTGTCCCAAACAGTGACCCAGGGGTTGTTTTTTTGTTTGTTTGTTTGTTTTCCTAAATTCCCAATGCAGTTTGCAAAAAAGGCATCATTAACTTGGAAATTCAGCAGCCAGCCATCAGGGCAGTCCCAGGGCTGGAGCACATGCTGGGAGGGGAGGCTGAGGAACCTGGACCTGTTCAAGGTTCTTGGTGAAGGCTGTGGGGAGGATCCAATTGAATCTCCTCCTGGTGCCAAAAGAGATTCCTGAGAGCAGGGAGCCAGGCTGGTCTGCACAGAGGGTGGTGGAGGGAGGAGGGCACAGCAGGAATATGCTGAAAGGAGAAGTTCAGAGGAGACACAAGAAAAACCACCTTTTCACCCTGAGGAACCTCAGAGTGGAGCAGGCTCCATCCCAGGTGGATTTCAAGACCTGACCATGCTTGGTTGGAAGGTTCATTTAGAGACTTTCTCCTGTCCTCAGCCTTCCTGAGCAGGATTTCACCTCAGCTGTCACAACACTTGTTCCTCCTGTGCCAGGAGTGTAAATTCCCACTGGAGCTACCCCAGCAGCAGCTGGCAGAGCTTGGCAGGCTGCTCCTGCTTTGCTGCAGCTTGGCAGTGAGGGGCTGCTTGCTCCCCCCAGGAGGAACTGCCCAGCCCCACGGTTCAGAGCCCTCAGCTCTGAGAATCAATCCACTTTTGAACTTCAGAAACAGATTCCTACTCAACAGGCTGATCTTCAGCAGAACTACCTGCCTGCTGTCACTGACACAAAAGCTGGGCTTGGGTATGTTTGTCTCCTGAAAAAGAAGCTGCTTTAGGTTTCTGTTCATGGATTTAGGATTCTGGTTTTAAACTGTTTTGCAAATTTGGACCTGGGCTCCCAAGTGAGCAGTGACAGAACTGCACAGTGTAAGTTTCAGTGTTTTTTGGGGTTTTTTTTCTTCCTCAGGCATATCCTTTCCTTGCTTTTCTTAGTTCTTGACTCATTTTTTTCTTTCACTGTGCAGTCTGTTTTCACCAGAATGGCAGTTATAAAAGCCCTGGAGAGGATAAAAGAAGAGGATTTTCTCAAGTAAGTATATACTGAAACTATTTCTTAGTATTGTGCTTTTGTATTGAATTAGGGAGGGGAGGAAAATATCCAGTGGGTATGGTAGGGTGGCTTTAAAAGAACTTTTGATTGTTTAAATTCAGTTGGTTTACTGCTTAAAACATGTTTTCTTTCTGGCAATAGAAGATCACTCCTGATCTTTTAATTAAAAGGATGATTTTGAACTTTAGAGTTTGTAAGGTAAGCTTCCCTTTACAAGAAATATTCCCATATTTCCAAAATGTTAGGAGTTGAGTTTTAAGAAAATACCAAGTGCTGTTAATATGCTAAAAAATCACACACACTGGGAAGCCAAAATCAGGCACTTTTTACTGCTCTGGTGATGCTCCATCGTGTTCTGGTAGTGATAATGCTTTACTCTGTTCTCCCTTTTAATACAGGCATTTTCCATGTCCCCCAAGTTCACCAAAGAACCTCTGTGATGCTCTGGAAATTCAGTGCAATAATGGTGCAGTTTTTGTGGCTGGTAAAGTGATCCATTTCTTTGCTGCTGTGTTTGTCTTGAAGAGAACTTTGTAACACTGCCCTGAGAGGATTCTTGCTTGTTAATCCCTGTAATGAAGTGTAAGGAGCAAAGAAACAAATCCAGCTCTGGCCAAGAGTGCTTTGAAAGGGGAAGAAATGATATTTGACTTTTGCTGAAGATATTATTTTGTCAAAAGTTAGAAATGAGAGATCCCCTCAGAGTAATGGTTTGAGAAAGGCACCTCCACACCAGCAAGCTCCCAGCAGTGCTGTTCCCTTCTTGGGTTTTGATTTGGATTCAGAGGTTTTCAACACCTGCATTTCTCTGCATATTATCCCATCCAAAAGTGCAAATCTTAGTGGGATTTATAAAGGTTTGGTTTATAAAGACAGGTAGTGCAGCAACACTTGGGTGTCCCTGAATTGAGATGATTGAATTTTTTTATCATCTGCCTGCCAGAGTATCTGCCATTCTCCTAGTCCTTTGTATGAACAGCTTATTTAAATACATGCAAAGTGATTATTGCTCAAAAGAACCCAACTTTTAATTTAAATCCAACATACTGTGATGATAAAAATCCTGAATATAAAGAAATGGAAAATGAAAAAGTACCACAGTGAATGGCAGGGTAGTTGATGTTCTACATAAACCATTCCTTATTTTTAATTACTGATTAGACAGTTAGATGTATTTTTTTTTTTTTTTAATCCAAGATATCCAGTGCCTTTTAGGCTTTTCCAAACACACTGCTTTATTTTAAGTTGCTTTATGGGATAGTTTTTTTCAGAATTCAACAGTATAAAGAGCAAAACAGAGAGTTTGCTTTCTGCCTGTCATTTAATACTGGTCTTGTCATTTATAGTTTATATCTTGCTCCAACAAATAAACAATCCAAGCAGGTGTTTAATTTTTCAAGAACTAAATCCAAAATAGAATTTATTGAGTACAGTGCAGATATTTTGCTTTTAGTAAATGAGATGGGATCTTGATTTGTAAGCACAACATTGTCCCCTTGACCTTACCTTTAGTGTTTACACCCCAATCTTTTTTAAGCATTATGGGGCTGTCAAACCAAGAAACACCTTCTGTTTTTTTAAACCTACTCTTGTTCAGATCAAAAGTTAAAATTATTCGAATGGAGAGCTAAGAGGAAAAAAACAAAAAGCAAACCTAATTCTCCTTTTTCCATTTTATGGAAAGAGAATTGAGCAGTGTGAGGCTGAATCTGAATGATGAGTCATCCTACTTTCATTATTTGCCCCAGTGAAACTGTGTTACTCAGTTTCCCCATTTGTTTGTGTGGCTTTTTCTGCTGCTCGAACTGCAAAAAGAAACATTGTTTGAGGTAGGAAAATATGATAGGAAAGCCCAAACCCCTGAGATGTCAGAGGCCCAAAGTAAAGCACAGAGCTACTCTGAACTCCTTTTATTTCCTATTTGCAAGGGTTCAGGTTGAAAGCACTTTAAGCAGGGGGTTGCTCCTTGGACTTCATGAATTATTTCCTTGTTTTGGGAATATTTTCAGTTCTTGTCAAACCTGTCCATAAAAAAGCTCATATTGGTCATCCATGTCAGGCTTGTTCTTCTGTCACAGCCTGCCATGGAGGTGCCATGAAATCATCACTGGGACCACCCAAAGATGCCAATCTCTTTACATGGCACCTTCTCAAGACTCCTGCATTCCTCCTAATTTATTATGGGGCCTTTTTACTCCTTGCATGGTGTTCCTTGTAGTGAGCCAAAGCATTTTAGTTTGGGTTTCTTTTCTTAAGCCTTTGGGCAATCCAGAGCTGGCTTGGAGCCTGGGTTTTTTTTCACTCAGGAGGGTGCTACCTGGAGGCAGGAGTGCAGCCACAGGCTCTCCAAGTCCATCCTGGGTGGCCACCCTGGCTACTGCCACTTCCCTGGAAGCAGCCACGTGTGATCCACGGTGCTGGTGTCACGCTGTGCCACGGAACAAGCCTGACCCTGTCAATTTATTTGCACAAAGCTCCCATGGAAGTTAAATGTGCTGGGCAAGAGTGCAGCTTTCACTCGTGGCTGTGGAATGGTTAGAAGTGGTTGTGTTTTACAGGAAGGTACAACAAATATTCCAGGAATTTACCTCAGACCCCCTGGATTATTGATGGGGAGCGGAAGCTGGAATCTTCAGTGGAAGAATTAATCTCAGAGCATCTGATGGCAGAATTCAAGGCAGACAGTAAGTCTTCAGGAGATTTCCTACCATACATATTTTTCATCACTACTAGAAGATTTTTTTCTTGGTATCACTGCTAGAAAATTTTTTTCTTGGTAGCTACCCACTTAATATGGCAGCATAATGGAAAAAAAAATAGTTTCTTTATCCCTCTTGTTTCCTTCCAAGCTAAAGCTTGTAAACTTTATTTGGCTGTGATCTGGGAGTAATTAGATCCTTTTATCCTGCTAAAGTAGCTCCTCAGTGGATCTGATGATGCAGATATGTTGGTTTCATGTGGTAGTGTTTTTGCTTAACCAAACTTCTCAACAGTTGGTAATTCATAAAATGACATGTACCAAGAAGGTTTTTGCCACAGGCATTTCATGGGATCTGCCTGGCTTTTGAGCCCCTCATGCTTCTGACCTCAATTCATTTATTTTCCTCAGTGCATAAAGTTCCACAAGCTAAATGCTCATCCAGGGATTGTCCAGATGAAATAATCTCTGCCCATCATTTGTCATCTAACAGATGTGGAATTGGAGACATAGAAGGCCCAAAGAAAAACTGCATTAAATAGTAGTTTGAAAAAAAGCCCTGCTACTTCCCCCTCTTCTCCTCCCAGTGGATAAATTAGTCTGTTTGTAGCAGTCTTATTCAGGCTAAGGAACTGGGAGAGCTCTTCAAGAAACTTGGGAATAAATAGGAATTCCCACAGTTTGTGAAGTGCAGGCTCCAGTTTATGAAGTAGATTTGAAGTAGATTTTGCAAACAAGCTTAGAAAGAAAACATTTCACCTTTTAAAAGCTGTAGAGAGAATTACAAATGTAAAAGAAAAGCTCACCTGCCTTGTTCAAATCTGTTACAGGCTTTAATTTTAGTTCCTCTGGAAGAGAAGATGTGGATGTAAGGACACTAGGCAATGGTAAGGCTTGGGAAACACAGAGATGAAATGGGTGTGTGGAGCTCTTCTGACAGGTCCTGCTGAATGCCAAGTGTGTGACCAGGCATGCTTTGGAATTTTATCTCAGAAGCATTTTGGTGAAATTTAGATATTTATTCCCAAAATCCAACAGCTTCATAAAGCCAGCTTGAAAGAGGAGCCCTTTTTCAGTGGCCTTGGCTACATGGGAAGGTATAATTAGTTAAAAGTATTTTATTTTATTCACTCCCTCCTTGTAAGCCATTTATGTCAGACTGATTCCTCTCTTGTTTTCTGCTGGATCCTTCTCATTCCCTCCCTGTGACTGCATGAGGGAATTGTTTTCTTTTTGAACCTGAGTCCCTTCTAAAGGTCAGCTGCTTTGCAACACACTGGAGCTGCTGTAGCCAAGGGAGGAGGGGAGGAAAAGTAAAAATGCACAGTTCTGTGTTTCAGTAGCTGTCTGATCTGTAGTGTGATTCTTGGCATGGCTTGTGCTGGGGATTGTCCTGGCCCTGAGCAGAGTTACAGCTCTGGCAGCAGATGTTGAGCTGAGGGAGTGGGATTTAACATTGCCGTGCACCTGGGCATTGCTGTAGGTGACAGAAAATAAGCTAATTAGCTTTTTTTTTTGTTGTTTCTTATTTTATTTTTTAATTAGCAGAGACTTGTACAAGATGTCTTCTGGGAAGTCATAATTTGCACTTATAGCTGATACTGGGGTTTAGTAGCCAAAAAAAAAGTCCCTTGTTCCTTCCCTTGCATCTGATGCTCCATCCCTCAGCCTCTCCCTGTCTGTGTAGCAGCAGACAGTGTTCACACCTTCCAGCCTCGCTGTGTGAATGCAGCACTCATTTAGAACAACATGTTTTTGTGTTTGATGCCCGTGGCCCTGGCCAGGCAGGCCCTTTGCCATGGAGCTGCTGAATCCCCGCAGGATCCGCTTCAGCGCCGAGGAGATGAAGAGGCTGCAGCAGGTAAAGCACCGAGCCCACAAAGCATGTCCTGCCTCTCCGGCCCAGCAGCTCTGCTCACTGATTGCTTTTTTTTTAAATATCACAGGCAATTAATGACTCTTCAGACAAAATACAGGTTCGAGATTTACAGCTCGTCACCAGGTCAGTGTTTGTCGTCGCCGGCGAGGGATTTCAAAGCGGCACTCGGGGAGTTGGGAAGTGTTCTTGCTCACAGCCTTGTGTAATTATGCTTCTGTTAAGTGAGTAATTAATTTCTTTTGTTTAGAGAGGCAATTGGTCGTATGAAGGAAGGTGAGGAGGAGAAGACAAAGACCTACAGTGCCTTGATATGGACAGACAGAGCAATACAGAGAGAAGACATCGCGTTTCTAGATGACATCAAGGTAGCAGGAGCTCTTGTTGCTCATTTCAATAACACCTGTCCTGGTGCCCTAGGGAAGGGTGAAATACAGGCCACCCATGGGCCTTTCTCTTGCTCTGTGCTTGGTTTTTGTTTTGTTTTTGGTTTTTATATCAGGGTTTCTCTTGCTGTAGGGACTTCCGTGCCACCCTTCCTTCCTTCACCAGTCCCTCCAGCAGGACACGGGGGCTGGCTGTCAGCAGAGACAACAAATCCTTGTGTAACGTTCACCTTCCAGGAGACCAAATCCTGGGAGAGGAGGAAATCCCCGCCCCTTTGTTACCTTAGATAGTGTCCTGTGTGAGAGAAGGGAGCAGAAAAGCTCTTTTGTTGTGCTCTAGAGCCATTTTGCCACAGCTGCAGCACTTTGGATGTGGAAATGCCTACGTCAGAGTGCAAAGAGGCCTCAGGAAGGCTCAGCATGTGCAGGAACGAGAACTTTCTCCAGATGTTGGCCTGATGCAGAAGTGGGTTCAGTTTTTGGTGTGTTGCACCATTTCCTATAGGACTTGCCCATGAGCTCATTCTCAAAGCCACTACAGCTCAGGCAGACAACTGTTGGGAAGTTCTTCCTTTAGCTTCCCTTGCTCCTGAGAAGTTGCCTTTCACACTGCTGCCTCTCCTTGGGGAAAGGGAGTCGGGAATGAACTTCTGAAAAGACTGTTCTGAGATCTAATCTCATTTAAGGTTTTTCCCTCTCACTTTTATTTCTAGGGGATTGGCTGTAGTTTAGACAAAGCATTTTGTAGGTGGGATTTATTTTCTTTTTCTGATTGCCCTGAGGCTCTGAGTGAGCTGCTAGATCCTGGAGTCATTCCAGCAAAGGGCTATGGAGATTTCAAGGTTATTCCTCTGTATTTGTGATTCCATTAGTTTGTGTTCATTTGAGGCCTCCTCTGGCCTCTGAGAGAGCTGTCCTCTTTCCTTTGACAAACTTGGAAAAAACCAGCCTTGCCTTGACATTACTCAACAGCCAGAACACAGGACAGAAGAGACGGGACTGTCTAACAACACCCACAGCTCCTACAATCCACACAGCTTTTGCACATCTCCTTCCTCACGTTTGTGCTCCCTTCTTGCCCCAGGAGCTGAGGCTGGAGCAGAAGACCCCTCTGCGGGTGCTGCACCGGCGGCCGCTGGCCGTGCGCTGCCGGCTCATCCACACCATGAGCTGCGAGTACCTGGACGAGCACCACTTCCGCCTGCGCCTCAAGACCCAGGCAGGGACGTATCCTCGGCTGCTGGCACCAGCCAGGCCCAGCAGCCTCCTGGAGGGAGGGCTTGGCATAAGGGCAGGGTCCCTGCCCGGGTGCCTGTGGGGTTTTGGAACCCCTGCAGCGGTGTCGCTGCGCAGTGTTTGCTTTTAGGTCACAATTTCTCATTGTTAGGTTTTCGTGAAGTATGGGACAGATGGAAAAATGTGCTGGTGAAAATACACTTCAGCTTTTTCTGATTTAACTGAAATTTTAATTTTCTAATTTTCACCCTCAAAAATGACCTTTTCCACAATATTTAATGCACTTCAGTGCAGACTGGAGATCGCAGCTGTTTACAAGTTCCAGTTTTGTCCTAAAGTCACTACTCAGTTTGGAATGAAACAAAATAAAGCTCTGACTCTGGTTTGGCACCAGAGTCAGAAGCCAGGAATTAGGTGCTCTCCTAAAGATAGGTATGGGCTCAACAGGATATTAACTAAGAAATTACTTATGAGTGGAAAATGTACTTTTTTTTTTTTGCCCTGTTGATTTCTTTGGTGTGGAATCCACCCCTCCTTAGCCAGTGTTTTCCAGCTACATTAAAGAGTTCGTGCACGGAGACTTCGGGAGAACAAAGCCCAACATTGGGTCCCTTCTGAACAGAACTGCTGACATTCTGGAGCTGGATGTAGAAGTAAGTTGGTTGCTGTTTGTCTTTCCTGGAAAGTTCTAAGGGCGTTGCCCTGGTGAGATGCTTTCCATGGAATTGCTCTGAGTGGATCAACATTCCTGACCACAGGATGCCTTTCCTTCTGCTACTTTCCTTTGTAAATGCAGCCCAACAGAGAGTGATGCTGCCAGGTAGTAGCAAAAGGAGTTGTGATTCTCTTGGTATGTGTAAAACACCAACTCTGCTGCCTTTTTCCCCCTCTGCTTTTCTAGTCTGTTGATGTTGACTGGCCTCCAACCCTGGCTGATTAACTTCTGGAGCTGGGATGAGGAAGCAGCAGCTCCCTGGCAGCAGCTGGTGACCAGACACTGTGCAGGATCTGTTACAGCCTGGGTGCCAAGGGTGTCCCTGGAATGCTGGGATCATGTTGATCTGACAGAGGATACCCTTGGGCTCCACTTTACACACTCAGGACCAGGTAGTGTTGGTTCAGTCTCTAGCCTTACTTTTATTTCTTCTGTACATAAAAAGATTTTGGGGAGCCAGTGTCTGTAACCCTCCAACCAGCCAGGTTTTATTTTAAACTCTTTTTCTATTGGATACCACAGCTTTCCTTGTGTGGATGCAGGTAACACTGAGTTACCTGAAACCCACTCCCTAATTTTTCTGAGCAGTTCATGCAGGAAATCCCAAAATCCAGGGAGACTGCCTGCAGCAAGTTTCCCTGAGACACTGCTTTTTTTTTTTTTTTTTTTTTGGTCAGTGGCAGTAGAGAGGAGCAGATTTGTCTCTCAGAGTGCTTTTCAAAGGAAAAAAAAAAAAAAGTTTTCAGAGGAGAACTTTGCACTTAAAACCAAGTTTTTTCATTTAAAAACGTTGGGGATGCTTCCTAGAAACAAGAGTTGAGGCCTCCTCAGCCTTTTTAGGAGTAGGAATTCCCCAGTGAGTCACAATATACAGAAAGTCTGGGAACTCCTGGCAGTGGTGCGTGATGGGAATCTAAAAAAAACAGGAACACCAAGAATGTCAACGTGCAGGCAGAAACAAAAGGTACCACAGGGTGCTGGTATCAAGAGAGATGAGAGATAAAAAGCTGTGACTTAGCAGCATAATGCATTTTTTCTTGTACCTCACTTTGGATGGATGCCTGGAAGAGCTGAACACAGCCTAGGAACTTGCCTGGAATAGGGAAGATCTGAGGGTTTTTTTGGTTATTTTAAATGTTTCCTACCAGGCACCACCAACATCTTTAGGAAGTAATTTTTTTATACCAGTATCATGTTAATCCATTAGGGAGGTGCTTCCCTGAAGTACAGAGGAGAGTGAAACTATCAACAAAAAATTAAAGTTTGGAATTTCAGAGCTCTTTGTTAACATTTTGGGGATGAAGAGGGTAACATCTGCCAAGACAAGCCACTGTCTGGGGACAGGGAGGATGACTGGGATGTCTTCCCTGGAATTCAGTGATGCTAGAACAGCTCCATGAGAGCTTGAGCTAGAGGCTCTAAGTGTTAATAAATACATTTTTAAGGAGCTCCTTTAAGGCTCTGCCTGTGCTGGGCTGTCAGAACTTGTGTCTGTAATGTAAATAACTCAGGAGCTCCTGTTTTTCTAACACAAAAATTTGATTCAGACAGAAATACTATTTTTGGTTTTAATATTAAAGCTCCTATGAGCAACAGATTCCATGAGTAGTTCTCAGATAATAATCTGCAGCTAGGAAGGAAATGTCATTAATGATGGAAAACTAAAGACACTGAATTCAGAAAACAAAAGAGAATTTCTTATCTGTGCCATTTCTTAAAACTCTCAGTGAGCTAAAATACAATTTATAAATTCCATAATCTGCAAGGGAAAGGAAAAAATGTAAACAAGACTGTGCTCTCTGGACACGAGAGGCATGGGAAGAGCTGCTCCAAGGGAAATGGAGCCAGGAGGGCAGAGGGAAAGGGCTGCTGCAGTAGTGCCAAGGACACTCCAGGCTCTTCCCTCTGCAGCTCCTGCTGCAGGGGGATCCCAGGCAGAACCCAGGGTAAACAAGGCCACCAAGAGCCCCTCGGTGTGCTGAGCTCTTCTCTGGGCAAGGCACAGAGCTCCTCCCAAAACTCCCAGGCTGGTTGTTTTTATGGTAAATCTGAAGTATCCACGTGGGGGGTGGAAGCTGATATGCAAATATCCCTGAGTTCTTGAGGCAGGGCACCCATCACAGCAGAAATGAAACTGAGAAATGCAATCTGGGGGTCTGAACTTTGTTTCCAGCCCAGTTGTGCAACCATCACTTACTGAATGTTGCTGCAGTAACATGCATGTCGTGCTTGGCCTTCAGCTGAATTTTAGGAGTATTTTTGTGAGTGCTCAAGCTGGGTGTTTGGTGAGAGCCAGATTTCATCTTGCATTTCCCCAGCTGGACACCTCTAACCCTCCCTCCTGCATTTTGGTTTTGCACCAGCTCAGCTGGGCCTGGAGAGAGCTGAACTGGCAGCAAAGCTCAGCCAAAAGCAGCTGTGCCCTTGTCCCCTCTGCCTGAAAACCCAACAGCTCTGCCACCAAACCTGCTGGGGCAGACCAGCCCTCACAGGCCTGAGGTTTTATAGTGGCCACCAGCAACAGGGAACAGAAAATACCCCAAAAAAAACCCCAGGATAAGCAACCAAGAACCTACCTTGTCCCTTTTCCCTGCCTTCCCCGTGGTGAGGGACGTCACCCAGCCGAGGAGGTTGCAGAAGCTGAGCACTTGGTATAACCAGTTTTTTTTAATTACCAAACCAACTCGTTTACAAAGGAAAACAGAACTTTGAAAATATTTAATTATACAGTAAAAACAAATTGTACTACAAAGAGCTTTCTATGAAGTGAGTAAAATGTTTACATTTAATATACTTAAAACTGAGAACTTCAAAAAAAAAAAACTGAATAAACAACGCGATTCAAGCTTTCTGTGTATTTCTTTGGATTTCTTTCGTCTTTGTATTGCTTAGGAACGTGGAGGAGAGGTGCAGAGGTGAGGAAAAACTGCTTTAAAACAGGGAGAGTCAATTCAGTTTGTTGTGTAAGCTGGACTTAGGGGAAGCAGTTTCCAAAGCTCACCTGACTGAGGGAATTCCAGCAGCAGCACCGGAGTGCTCCCAGTGCTATGGATTCCTGCAGGGAAGGCATCCCTGCTTTCCTGTAAGCCACAGAGGGCTTCTGGAGCACCTTTCCTTGTGTACAACTCTACATCTCACGTGGCTTTTTTGATCTGGGGGAGGGTTGTAGACATTGCTTTTTTTGTGGTTGCTGTCACTGTGCAGTTTTACGTCACCAAAAGGTGACAGCGGGGACCCTCAGCTGCCCTAAAGAGCAGCTGCGTCCCTTGAGAAATACACAGACGTTTCTCTGTGCTGCTTCTTAAAGAAATAACAGTATAATAAAGTAGCCAAGGCCGGAGTGTCTTACCCAGCCAGTTACCTCCAGCTGGAGGTGTCAGAACAGCTCCTGCTCAGGCTAAGAGCGAAGACTGGGAATCAAGTGGGTGGGAAGAAGTTCTGGTTCCTGATACAGAGGACAGAGGAGAGGTTTTAATTAGTACAGGCTGAAATGGCTTTAAAAGTTGTTAATAGAGGTGAGGCTGCACCAAGGCTTTGCCCTCCTGGGAGGGGGAGGCAGGATCTGAGCCTTCTTTGAAGCAGTCTCTTGCATAGCAGGAAACTGCCAAGATACCTGAGGAAAGAGTGAGTAGATACTCGGGCTCCAGAGATTCCTGCCTTTCCAAATCTCACTCACATGGCAGCTGCATACACACACACACACAACTTGCAGAGCGATAACAGCTTCATTCCTAAAGCAACAGGGGCATGGCTTGTAAAACATTCTGGGTGAAGTGCAGACAAGTCCTCACTTTCTGTTCCTTCTCTTGTGCAGTGATTTCCTTTGCAACAGAGCTGGACTATTTAAAAACTCAAACCTTCCGGTCTTTTTAAATACATCTAACAATGACATAGTCATTAAAAAAAAATTTACGAGTAAATTTGCCTTCAAAGCAAACAGAATGCGGTGACCGTGGAAAATCAATACATGTTCTCATTGTAGGAGAAGAATATTTATAGAAAGGGGGTTAAGAACCTAAACCTTTCAAGTATGCTGAGCAGAACTCAGGTGCCATTCACTACACGAGACTGAATTAGAGTGCTCACGTGCAGGGTTTTTTTCCTCATTTCTGTCCTATCAAAATTTAAATTTCATTTCTATAGCAAAAATGGCTATTTCAGAACAACTCCAACCCTGTGAAGTATATGAAATTCTAACCCTTCTGAAGATGCCAGCTCTTACAGTCCCCAAAGGTAAGGAAGCGTTAACAGTTCCCACTTCCAACAGCGAAAAAATACGTCCGTAAGGTACTTTTAAGGTACAGAAACCCCAAACCCTATTCCCACCTCCCTCTTTAAGGGCACCACTGTGGGCTGCAATAAATAACCTTTAAGTTATATCGTGGAACTTGCACGGCAACATTCTGAAAGAGAAAGCAGGGACTCCAGAAGGGTAAATTACTCCTCCCCACGCAGCAGCACCCGCGCAGCCAGCGCCGGCTCACGGCTGATAGCTCTGCAAAATGTTATCGAAGGGGAAGGACTGGTAGAGCTCGTCGGTGTGGACACCGTCGGTGTCGTAGAACTGGCCGTCGGGCAGGCCCTGGTGCCCGCCGGGCAGCCTGGGCTCGCCCAGCCCCTCCGCGTCCATGAAGCCGTAGGCGGGCTCGGCCAGGCCGGGCTGCGCGGGGAAAGCGGCGGCGCCGCCGGGCCCGGCCGGGGGCAGCTGCAGCGGCGGCTGCCGCGGGCCCAGCGCGGCGCTGAAGCGCTCCAGGCTGATGCTGCCGCAGCTCATGTCGTCCGTGTCCATGCCCAGCAGGCCGGCGCTGGAGGCGCCGCCGCCGGGGAGGCTCTGCAGCTCGGGGGCCGGCAGCACCACGGCGCCCAGCCCGTTCGTGCTGCCGAAGGTCCGGAAGAGCCCCGAGTCCTTCTCGTCCGGCCAGGCCAGGGAGCCGTCGGGGAAGGCCGGCAGGGAGCCGCTGCCCTGGGGCTCCGAGGAGAAGCTGTTGTGCGGGTGGGAGCCGAGCATCCAGAACGGGGAGGAGAGCACGTCCTGCTTGCCCGGCCCCGCCGCCACCTGCGAGCAGCTGGGGTACGGCTGGCTCGGGGCGGACAGCGCTCCTAGGCCTGCAGGCATCATCGTGGATGGAAACAGGTTCGGTTCTGGGGAGAGAACGCTGCTTTTTAGGGGCTTTCTCAAATTACAAGTGGTAAAAAGCAAAGGAAAGACAGCAAGATTGCACGGGTATTCCCACAGTCAGCTTCACTGCTGTCCAGGATGGACCCCAGAGTTCTGCCCTCTACGGCCCACACTGAGGGTGACACAAAGAACTGAGAGCTTTAACTTTGCACAGTCAGAAGCATCACTGTCCTACAGGAAGAAACCCTCGAGAGATTAGAATTTCGAGCAAACAGAGGGCACTACTTTTTTAAACCACCGTCAAAACCACAGGTAAAAACCTACCTTTCTTAATCGCCTTCCCTTCAGGAGTGACAACAGGGAATGGGGCTACTTTGGGCCTCTCCATGGTGCTTGAGCCTGTGATGGAACACGACATGAGCGTGCAGCATTTGCAGGGAACAGCTCCATCGAAATGTAAGCTCACTCAAGCAAGAAGAAAAAGACAAATATTTTCCTTACCACAGTCCTGTATGAGCTTCTGCCAAGCCAACGTTGATCTTTGCCTTTTCGCTTTGTTGCCATATGGATCTACAGAGAAAGGAGTGGAAGGGGAAAGTGTTGCATTTCTCTTTAAGGAAGGCCTAAAGGAACTCCCTAGTGGCACCGAGCTGCAGTAGGAATTATTTAAAGGAAAACATTGCAGGCATGGCAGCACTAACAAACCATGCCAGTGTTACCCAAGAGAAATTCCTGTATTGTCACTGGAAGAGGGAATAGCCTGACTGCTGTAACTTTCAAACCCCACAACTCTGCTGAAGCAGCGCTGTGGATTTCTCATTAATTAAGCCACTAGCACGAGTCCTGCGTTGACCATGGCTGTTGAGAAGCTCATCTCCTGGCTGCATCCATACCCTTTTCATCTGGCAGGTATCTGAAATCCATGGGTTCACTGACTTCCTGGTCCGAGGGCCTCCGCAGCTGCATCTTCACGGTGACGGGCTCGGAGATGTCCCTGAGGAACGGCGGCGTCCTGAACACGATGGCGACCTGGCGGTGGACGTCGGCTTGGGAGAAGGAGCCCTTGGCCTCCCAGTTGTCCAGGACAAACCTGACTTCTATGTCATCTAGGCCAGGAGAAACAGAAGATGCTTGTCAAGCTGGGAAATTGAGGATTTGCAGCAGAAAAAAGAGGGGGGAAAGGAGCAAAGTGAGGAGCCTGACTGGGGATTCAGATCAGAGTAAATGGCTCAACTTTAAAGGCACAAGAGGTGCTGAGACCCAAAAAACAGAGGAGTTGTTCCGCCCAGCTCCAAACCCAAACCACTCTGAGGTGTGTGGTGAAGGGTTTCAGCCCCCCAGCAGGAAAACGGTCGTGGAATGTGTCCATTGGGGAAAAAGGGAGAGAAAAAACCTGGTGCAGGTTACCTTTCTGAACTTTGTCACACAGCAGAAATATTTCGTCTCCTCCTTTGACGCTCCCACAGTTCTTGTTCACACGACAGATTCTCAGTTCTGCGGTGTTGGGAGCTCCTGGAAGCAAACAGGCAGACTGAATGACCTGGAATTACTGTGGCTTTGTCACTGTTGGACGGAGGAGGAGTGTGACACCCTGAAATCCACACAAAGCAACATCCTCCATACAGGAAACTCAGCAGCAGGGTCTGACATTCCATGATCCTACAGCTTGGCTCCAAACACAAGACATCAGCACTCCCTAACGATTGTAGAGCAGTCCCAAACACTTCCCCCACTGAGGTGGTTGTGCTCAGCCCCGCTGCCCTTGAAGCTGCAGAATTCAAAGCAGTTCTGTGGGTGAATGATTGCCTGGTACTGCCACACTTCTCTGGAAAGAGCTGGGCTACTAAGTCAGGAGAATTCCCCTCTCTGAGGATCTGGCTGTGGTTCTGTTCTCAGAGCTACTTGGCCACGCAGCCTCTCCTCTGTTCCCCTCTGCAGGTGTCCAGGAGCAGCTCCATAATTTCACACCTTCACCGAGGGCAGCAGGTTTCACCCCAAACCACTCAAACTTCCCACTCCAGACCGTGGCTGCACACCAAGAGCCCTCAGGATAGCTGAGGATGGAGAGCTGCCTCCCAGCATGATTCAGCCCCCACTGAAGGCTGCACACTGCATCCCAAACAATCCCACGGCTGTGGGTGACTGCAGTGGGATGGAGCCATGCTCTGCCTGGTGGTGTCTGGCTCTGTTCTAGAGCAGCAGCTCCAAACACATTTAAAATGTCTGGAATGATCCAGCTGGTGCTGCTTGGACACCATGAAACTGATCCTCCACGAGGCTCCACCACCACAGGCTCCCCATTCCAGACACAGAGAAGAAATACAAAAATCAAAGCTCATGGTGTCAACCTCAAAAGAAAAAGAACAAAAAAAGCAACCAACAAAAAACAAACCAAACCAAACAAATCTGCTTTAGACTCTCAGTTTGAATCAATTCCTACCCAAGTACAGCTGCAGCACAAGACAGACTACACCTAGAGCAGAGTTCCTGGTAACCTCCCAGCATCCCCAATTACGTAGTTACTATCTGCAGCTATTACTGTCATTATTTTAAGTGGGAGCTGCAGCCTCACGTACTACATGACACACACCACTTCATTTGCTGAATGAATCAGAGCCCTTCAAGGGAGGGGAAACCAAACAAACCCAGGAACAGCACAGGGCCATGTGACTGACAGCGTCACGGCGCGCTTTTCACAGGAAAGGTAAATTAAGAATTGGGAGGAAAAGCCTAATTTTACCAATGTTTCACTTCTGTGTGCTTGAGTGGCACTCAATAGCAGAGAATCAAGGAGTGGTCTGGGTTGGAAGGGACCTTAAAGATCATCCATTTCCAACTCCCCTGCCACGGGCAGGGACAACTTCCCCTATCTCAGGTTGCTCCAAGCCTTGTCCATCCTGGCCTTGGACACTTCCAGGGATCCAGGGGCAGCCACAGCTTCCCTGGGCAATCTGTGCCAGGGCCTGCCCACCCTCACAGGGAAGAATTCCTTCCTAATGTTCAATCTTCCCTCTTTCTATGTGAAGCCATCTCCCCCTGTCCTGTCACGCCCTTTTGTGAAAAGTCCCTCTCCAGCTCTCCTGCAGTTCTCTTTAGCTCCTTGTAACAGATTTTTGGGACAGTCTGCTTCAGTGGAATCTGTGGTTTTGTCCCTAGACAAGGAATTCGGGAGGGCAATCACCACACACAAATCCAGCAGATGTGGATGCACCACTGTCAGCAGGAGGGCTGAGCCCAGCACCTGCCTCGGAGGGAGATGTTCCTCACCCCTGCCACCTCAGCTCCTGCCCAATTCCTGTTCCTCACTGCCCTGTGCCACATCCCTGGCGACAGACCCCTCGAGAAACGGGCTCCTCACGGAAAATCACCTCGTCTTCCACAAGGGCAGAACATGCTCTACCCAACCCCGTTTCTCAGAAACGCTGAGCTGCCTCATCTGACTCTTCCTAAGAGTTTCTGATATGCAGCTTGGGAGATTTCTGTTCCAAACCAGTTAACTTTAGAAGCATCTGGAAACAGGTGGTGCTGAATTTGAGACACTTGCAGCCTCTGCTAATGGGGTTGCCTGTGTGATGTCAATGAGATTCTTCTGTGTCTCACTGCCCACAGCAAGTGGAGGCTACAAAGGATGAGAAAGTGAAGAAAATACCGGATTTGAAGTGTCCAACTGATTTTCAGAGCATCTCCTTGCTCCTAAGCCGAGCAGATGTGTGGAGGCTCAGAGCCCAGGGGTGCCCAGGCTGCAGTCCCTGTCCCCTGAGGGCACAGCCTGGCTGCAGCTCCGAGCAGGCTGACACTTCTAAAAGCAGCTGGGATCTGAAACCGAGCAGGGCTGATCTTTACGACCTGTGGTTGGGTTTATTTACAGGGCTGCTACGCTACAGGGAGGCTTTGGGGTGCCTGCAGTGCTGCCCACAGACACCCCAGCAGCCGCCCCCGCTTCCCCCACGGCGCTCTGCCGGCACTGACGTCAGCCCACGAGCAGTAATCATGATTTGGCACATTTCTAAATGGCATCTGAGGCAGGGCTGCAAATCTGGTGCATCAGTTTTTATCTCAGCCCTGATTATTTCAGTGCAAGGGTTCTCAGTGACACAACGCTCGCAGCCCCGGCTTCTAGATCGTTCTGGAGGAGACTCTAATTATATCAGAGCCATCTGAGTTCATGCTCAGCATATTCACAATGGTTTGTGCCCACATCAACACAATCCTAACAACTTCAGGAAACGCAGATCTCGTTTTATTCAGTACTTTCTGCTAAAATGAGGATGTCAAATATTTAGCATGAAAACACTCATGGTGCAGAAATGAAAAACCCTGCAGGAAAGTTTCTCAGGATTAAGAGTTCTTTTGCTACTCTGCTCCCAGAGAGGAGTCCAGCACACACTGGGGGCTAAAATCCTCAGCTGCTGATGCCCTAGGGATGTCCAGTCTTGTGGAATGTGGAAAATGGTGGCAAGAAGAAGTGTCACGTACTTCTGCACCAACCAGGACACACAAGGCCACCTGACAGCTTCCCACTGGCACAAATCTCTCTTGCAGGTCCCATTCCAGAGCCCTCACAAGGCAAAGCAAGACTCCTCAAGGGCACAAACAGGCTCCAGAGGACTCTTGGAAAGCAGATCAGCCTTGAGGCAGCCATCCATCTCACCACTATCACTTTAATCACTTGGCACATCAGGCGTGAACCTTTCCTTGCAATCACTGCTGCTGTGTGCAAACAAGGGCTGGAAAAACACCTGTGTGTGAGTCCAGGAATGCCATGGACAATCCTTACCCTGGCTGGCCAACATTTCACCCTGGGATCACGTTTGAAGGTATGCTGACTGTGACTTGCCATGTGACACTCATGCACCTGGCAGTCCCAAGCCACGGAAGCGACCTGGAGCTGGCACAGACCTCAGGAAGCTGGCATTCCTCATCCCAAGCTGAAGAAAAAAAAAAAAAAAACCAAAAGGGAGAAGGAAAAAGAGCCATTTGGCTGAGGTGGTACTCACTGTTGTCATAGATGGGGTTGGAAATCAGAGGAGGGAGGGCGATGCTGTAGTTGCCGTGCTCGTCGGGAAGGAAGGCTTGGAAGCAGAGCCGGACCACGTTGAGGTCGTACTCGTCGATGTTGTGCAGCTGCTCCTCGGGCACTGCAGCACAGACAGCACCAGGGTCACTCTCAGAACCAGCAGAATTCCTCACCAAACTGGGGATGAGGCCTCTCAGTAAGGGATGGAGCTGCCCAGGCACACACACACACGTGCCCGTAGCCCCTGGGGCTGCACGAGTTCATCCCTTGCTCACAACAAACACACCGAAGCCTTTCACACCCAACCAGGGTCAGCTGTCCCAGCTCTCCAGCTGTTTCTTGTGCCTGGGCTCCTCACCTTGCCTGCCACAACAGGCAAGTTTAAAAAACTTGGTTTAAACCACCGTATCTGTGGTTTAAAAGTGATTTTTTTTATTCTTCTTTGTGCGCGATAAAATTTACGGAATTAATGTTGTTGCCCAAAATAAATATTTTGGTACCAAGGGATCCTAGGATCCCATTAAAGATTTTCTGCAGCGCTGAGGGGCTTTGGCTACATGGTATCATGATTATTTTCCTCTAGAAACTAAGATGGAAGAGTCAGAAGGGAATTCCTTCTGGGAGAACAGAAGCCACCTCCCCACCCCACCACCACAAGTGTCTCAGCTGTACATTTCAGAGCAGGGATTAGTGGAGCCATTGGGATAAGGAAAGCCTTGCTGGAAAGGATCCATTTCCTTGCATATTCCTCCCAGTGTAAAGCCCAGCAATGCATAACCCAAACCCAGCATTTCAATTTTGTTCACTCCTTATTTTAATTAAAAGACACAGGGCCTGGGGTATCATTACTGAACATTTCAGGTATTCCCAGCTTAATGGACAACTCTGGGAAGAGCAGCCCCCTCTGAATTCTTCACTTTCCTTTAAGGTGTGACACTAAACCATTATGCTGGCACTCAATGCTAGTAAAAATGAGAAACCGGCTTAATTTCACTTAAGTAAAAGTACTGATAATTAAAATAATTACAAGTGTTTCTGTTTCCCCAAACCCCTCCCAGCAGCAGTTCAGCTGTTTCACACTCCTCACAGTTACCCAAAGCCAACATGTGTGCCAAGCCACCAGATCACCAGCTCTCCATTCTCCTCCCCTCCTTTTCAAAGGGCTCTTGCAAGAACAGAAGATTAAACGTGGCTGTGATAAGCAGCCTGGGGACCACGCTGTACTGATTAGAATGCCTGCTCTGACCTTTAGCATTTATCACTGGCTCAGGTCTCCACCCTGCCACGAGTGGGATTCCACAATGCCCACTTGAGCGGCTTCTTCCTTTTACCTTTTGCTAAGTGTGAAATTGTAAGTGTGATGAGCTCAGAATACTTTCCACTGGGCATTCTGAGTCCTTCTGGTGCTGCGAATATCAATTTCTCCTGGTCTCCAGTGCAAAGGGAAATCAAGTCACCTTTCCCCTTTACAAGCCTGTGATCTGCAATATTTCAAGGCAAGTACAGCAGCGAGTACAAAACTAAGCAACAACTGTGTGAGCTTCAGAAGTGCTGGGCCTGGGGGAGTTCTGCCCGTGAGCACTTTGCAGGCTGCTGCTGACTGTGTCACCAGACACACAAATTTATGCCTTGATGCACTCCATCAGTTCACCTGCTAACTCGAAAGGGGATCTTTAGGAAAGGGGTTTGGAATAGACAGCTCCTCAGCCTGACCCGCATTTGGCTGGCTCCACAGCCCAGCTGCCTGGTTCAGAGAGCACAGAAAGAAAAGGCACTTCCCAAAGGGCACCTTGCAGAAGGATTACCAGGAGAGCAGCTCTCACCCATGCCCTGACACCGTGGCCAGCTCCCAAGGACACCCTGACATCAGGGCTCGCGTCCCTGTGCTGTGCCAGCCACTGGTGACCGCGGATCCCTGCAGGGAGCCAAGGGGTGCTCAAACCTCAAACCTCTTGACAACTGAACAGAGCACAGAGATTCGGTGCCTTTGCCTGTCTGTGGATGGAAGCTGAGCACGAAATCTGGCTTCTGACCCTGGATCCAAAGTGAGGGCTTTGTGGTTGTGCAACCAAGGCCCTCTCTCACGCTAAAGGAGCCTCAGTCCCGCTCGGTGCCTTCCACAGGGAAATGTGCCTCTTCCTCAGAAACACGTAACAGCAGACTGAAGCCTAAGAGCACTCTATAAAAGCAAAAATACTCTAGATATGGAGAAAATTAGCAATGCTAATGTTCAAATGATGTCACTTCCTAAGCTACAAACTTGCGCAAATTCCCAATAAATCTGTCTGACACCTGACACAGGAGTGGTGTGCCAAGAACGGCAAGGGACAGAATCACTGTGTACAGCTCATTCTATTGCAGCAGAACCCACTGCTCCTGATTTGCATGCTTTCATAAACGATTTAATAGAATCTTTAAAAATCTGTCGTTTGAAAGAGGAAGTGTTCAGTCAAGAGTGATTCCTCTTGGGCTATTTTTAACCCTACAAGGAGAACATAACAGTGCAAGAAAAGGAGAACAAGACAGCTGCAACTCCATCTTGTGATGACACGCTTTAAAAAAGAGACACACCAGATTCCATGTGCATATGAAGAAGCACACAGCTTTCACCGATTTCAAAACAAGACAATCATCCAAACAAAACAAAATGCTGTTATTTTTAACAAACATCTAATCCTGCTCCCTCTGAAGTCGATTTGGGAGCAGCCACTGACTTGGAATGGGTGCTGGCTGACACCTTGGGAATATTAAAAGCAAACAAAGCCGAGGCGGACAAACACCCTGAGTAACGCCTGGAGCGCGGCCAGGCGGAGGATGGCCATGTCATCCCATCCCATCCCATCCCATCCCACCAACTTCTCTGCAGAAGGACAACAGAGGGCTTAAACCTGACAAACCTGAAGTCATTAAAGTTAGGAAACGCTGTCGAAGATTTTGGGAACGCTATGTGCTGGAGAGGAGGAGCAGCCGCTCCGCCAAGCCCTGCACAAGCAGGACTGAAAGCGGGGGCATCGCACGTGGGAAGGAAAGACGTCGCCCCGTGTGGCACCTCGGGGGCACAGGTGTGGTGAAAAAAGGCTCCAACACTACACAAGAGCAAAAAAAAAAACCAAAAACAAAAAGACAAAAAGACAAAAAAGGGAAGAAGTTCTCTGGTTTTGGCAAGGGTTCAACTTCCTCTTCTGACTGCTGCTCGCTGTGTGGTACCACACCTTGGTGTCTTCATCTGGATCCAGCTGAAAGAGCTGGAGCCCAACCAAAAGCCTGGGTATATTCCTCTGATGGCCCAGTCTAATTACAAAAAATAGCCCTAACCTGGCAGAAATCCTTTAACTGCAGTTATCTCTGCACACAGGAACACATGAAGGACTATTCGTAAGCTTTACAAGGAACTTTCAGACGCAACTCAGAGAAATTAAAATAATATTTTAAAAATAACTAAAATTCTAAGGTAAATATAGACTATGATGTCAAAAAAGTCCATAAAAATACCAGTAGCACCATGGTAAAAGAAATCCAACCCCACTCACCAAGATTCTGGCAATAGGGTTGCAAAAGGAATACCTGGAGTTACAGTCAAACCTGGGAGGATTTGCTGCTCCTCTGGAAAGGCGCTGCAATAACCAGTAAATAATTTCATTATAGATCTGTTTACAACTCTTCTGAACACAGTGCTGGTTCCTCAGCTTTACTAAATAATTATCTTGGAAATAATTCCCTAATCCATTGTCTGCTAAGGTGGGAAGGGACCAATACAGTCCCAGTGTGGGTAAAACACCTCTCGTGAGCTGAACTGTGAACTCCTTCCAACCTGAGCTGGCTGATCCAGGTAGCTCCCAGGCATCAGGTTTGGGTTGTCCCTGTCTCCAAGATTTTGTCTCTAAAATCCAGAGATGCCCTGCTGGGATTCCACTGAGAACCTGCTGGATTAGCTTCTGTAACACAAAACTGGAGACTTTCTGGCTTCAACACACCAATGTGCAAGTCCAAGTTTGGACACAAAATTAAAGATGTTGGTAACGTCAGGTCTCCTGTTTATTAATTTCTAATTATATTTTTAGTATTTCAATAGCTTTCAACATCCAGCAAGGGCAATAAAATGTCATTTATATGATTAAATTGATGGGGTATTAAGGGCTCTGATGTTCACTGACAAGGTGATGCTTCAGAGAAAGTGAAAGTTTATTCTGAACAGTGAAAAGCAATGATAAAGGGTTTGGGTTTTTGACTGATAATTGACACCTATCAAACAGCAGATCCCTCACACAGAGCTCATCACCCAGCTAATGATGTCAGCCTTCTGGAGTGGGCAGAGCTGGAGGCATCTCAGCTTAACCTGCATGGAAACTTCCAGGGCAGTGTGGTGTGACACAGTCAGAGAGGGGGCTCTGTGGAGAGCACAGCTCACCCTGCAAGGGACATCCTGTGACCTTCCCCCGGCAGCGAGGGGCTGCAGGGGCACATGAGCCACATGAGATGTCAAAGAGAATGACCTTCCACAAGTTAAAACAGCCCAGAGATCACACATCATTAATAACCATCGCACATCACTCCCCACATGTGTGGGGAGCACACATCATTAATAATCATCATGAGTTGTTTCTCTCTTACGCAGATGAGGCTTTTTAATTTAGGGATATGCTGGGAGCTCAGTTTCATTTCAGGGATGACACAGAAGTGGTTTGCCTCCAGGGTTTTGCTCCTGGAGTACAAAGATACCCCCCTTGGCCCTGATACCGACTGGGCAGTCTAACTCGGTCCATGCCAGAGGTTTTGCTGCAAAAGGTGGCTCTGCCCAACCTTTCCAGCACTGCTCAGGCTGGCTCAGCTCTCATGTGGTGAATCAGATCAAGGAACTGGTCTGGCTCAGAACTATCTTGCCAGAAGGGAAGAGGAAAAGGCTTGTTTTCAGCCAGCTGGTTCCCACGACAGGCAGCCCTGGCGCAAGGCAATGGGTGGAAGCAGAGCTTCTTCCAGAGCTGCTGCTGATTTACACCAGGCTCAACCAGGCAGGGAAATGGGCTGCAAGTCACAGGTCACTCTTGGTGCCTAGAAGATTAATTTCAGACCCAGCTTATCCCCCAGCCTCTGTCCCTGCTGTAGCCACAGCTGTGCTGGTGTAGCCTTGTACTAACACTTCCCAAGGGGTAGGATCCTGCAGTGGTCTGGGCTGGAAAGGACCTTAAAGCTCATCCAGATCCACCCCCTGCCATGGGCAGGGACAACTTCCACCTTCCCAGGTTGCTTTGAGCCCCATCCAACCTGGCCTTGGACACTTCCAGGGATGGGGCATCCCCAGGGCCTCAGCACCATTAAAAAATTTCCTTTGCATATCCAACCTAAATTCTGCTCTTTCTGTTTGAACCCATTACTCCTTGTCCTATCACTACAGTCCCTGATCAAGAATCCTGGTGAAGCTGGGAACAAGGGGGGAGGGAAGGACTGTGGCAGCTCTATGTTTCTTCTCCCGATACACCCACGCCTGTTTTATTCCACTGAGATCCACAAAAAGGTAATTTTCAATGAATTCTGCAGAAAAAAGGAGAAGCTTTTACCTGTACCTTGAAACAGTGTGCATCAGCAGCACCCATTTTTCAAAAAGCAAAAACTCAGGGAGTTGGTGAGTGCAAACAACTAAAATTCAGATGACATTCTAGAGTCAGTAAATGCCCAAACTTCTGTGGATACATTTCCCTGGTTTACAGAAGAAAGAAATGCAGGGGAGGCGAATGGCCTGGCCAAGGGAAGAACTGGGAATACAAATTAAAACTTTCAAAACTCAGCACTTGTTTTGCCTAGACAATGTTTCTCTGGCTTCTTTTCCTGTTTTAAGTTCAACATTAAAAAGGTGAAGTTGGAAGAGATGTAAACAAGCGTATCCATCAGCCTCTGTACATTCCTGATACCTTTCTTTAGCAGTTTCTGTTTCTATCACAGAAAAATAAAGAAGTCAGCATATTTGTCTTGCTACCCGGTAATCTTCCTTTTTAAACAATTTGAAAGGGGGCTGTCCTTTGTTATTAACACACACACATTTTGGAATGAGCAGAAAGGAGCGTTTGCAGGAGACCAGAGGAACAAAGAGCTTCCCAAAGCCAAGCGCTAGGGCCATGCCGGGATCAGGACACGCAGCTTCCCTCGAGTGGGTTTGCTCTGTGCCTCCCCAAAAGCTCATGACACTCACTACCAAGATTTCGCACTTCAGGATTCAACTGGGGGGCTGCACATTTATTGCAATACAAGAAAAGAAGCTCAAAGTCTCTTGTGATATCCGAGATCATTACAGCAGACGCCGTCAACCCATTCCCACTGCCAAGAGCCGCTCACGCAATCCACGAAACTCCGTAAAACTCCCCCTGGAGCTGGCGCAGGCGGCGAGGGGGATCCTGGGGAGAGCAGCACCAGAGGAGAGGGGGTTTCTCATGGAAGCTGCAGAGAGGGACGGCGTGGGCAGGGGCGTCACGGCACAGGCGGTGACGAGCGCGGAGCCGCGCGGGGTCAGCGCTCGCGGGCGGAAAGGGGAAGCGGCAGAGGAAACGCTGCGGAGGCACACGCAGACCTGCTGAGGTGTGGGCTGCTGGGGAGAGCCTAAAAATGAACTGCACGCTCCTAAGCGCGAGCAGCTGCAAAGGAGCAGGAAGGTTAAGCTTTGGCAAGCTCCAGGGAAAGTCAGGTTATCCCTGCTGATAAAAACTGCCCGGAATTCGGCGGTTCTTACTCCAAGACAAGTCCGGGGTTTTCGCGCTGCCGTGCATTTGGCTAGAAAAAGGTCAGTCCTCTGTAACACTGCACTGAGTACAGTTTTTCCATAATTTAAAGAAAACACTTAGGGCTTTTCCTCATTGACAATTAACTCCAGTTGTTATTAACTCAATTGTTGTCTCTATGTCAAGTCACACCCACTCACAAAAGCTCTTAACTGAAAACTGGCTCTTCTTTTAATTTGAGTTGGCTGTACATCAGACAGTGTATGGGAAGACAAGGATATGGCACAACTCAACAGCTCCTAAAAGAAAACAAACACCATAGAAAGCAGACATGGACCAGCTCCACTGGAGGAGTAACTCTGCTCCTTCGATGCTGTGCCATTTGTATCATCATCACCATCATCATCACCACCGTGCCAAGGAGTGCATGTTAGGCTGACACTGTGCCCCATTTCCCTGGAGTGCTCAGAGATGAGAGACAAAAGGGATTTCTAGAATTCTTGGGATTGCTAGAGGACAAAAATATATGGCGTGTGCTTTGGGAACACCACGGATCACGAACACGGTGCGGAAACAGCAATTCCCTCTCTCTCAAACAAGGCTAACACAAGAGCAGCAACCTGACTGCAAGTCATCCATCCTAGTGAATGCACACGGCTCCCACAGCCTGTGCTGAGCTTCACAAGGGACAAATGCTGCTAGCCAACAGTGGGAATTCACAGGGAGACAGCCTTACACAGGATGACTCCGATGCACCTGCAGCTGGGCACATGGCAGGGATCTGCAAACGAGTTCTGATCACCCAGGGATTCCGAGGCAGGCATCAATTGCTTGGGATCAATACTGAACCTCTCTTCCTCAAACGGAGGCTTAGGACAGGGAATGCTTGTTCCAGAAGAAAGTGGGAAAGAAAAAAAGAAAAGCCTAGCAGCACACAAGCACCCTGAAGGCTCGTTTTCCATCAAGTTCCTTTGATGATGTCATACAAGAAATGAGTAACACCAACTTGCGACCTGCTCCGGAATGTCTCTAAACAGGGAAGTCAGATGCCTCTCTGAAGGCACAGAGGTAAAGCACAATGCAGGATGGATTCAGCACAGCCTGCACAATCCTGGAAAATGTACCAACACTCCTCTGACCTTAAAAAACAAACTAAATCCATACATAAAACTTTCAACCTTGTCAAGCAGAGAACATCTGCTGTGATTGCGGCTCGCAAAACCCTGCTCTGATCAACTAAATAAAAACATTCCTGTCACTAATTCTATTTTATTAGACCTTGGTCCCAGGCCTTTCTAGGCCCTGCTCAGCGTGGGACTGCCCTGGAGGCCGTTCTCAAGTGGCTCTGCTTTGTGCTGACACGTTAACATGCGCCGAAGGGCAATGACTGACGCAGCTGGGGATTGCCAGTGGCCCCCTCTCAGCACAGCCCCTGCCCAGAGCAGGCTGCTGCCCTGGGTGTCACCCAGGAAGGCTCTCCCTTGCTGCCAGGGCAGCAAAGTGGCCTCCTCCACTGGTGGGAAGCAGCCCAGGATCTGCCCGGATGCTACCGAGCACGACTTTCTGTAATCGCCCGAAATTTATTAGTGGATGTGGAGTTAAGTGTCAACAACTGTAAAAATCTACTTCCTTCTAAAGAAAAGTTCCCCTTTTATTGTTTGAAATCAAGGTAGAGCTGGCTGAGTAAAGGCAACATAATTCAAACCTTTAAAGTGTTTAAATTGTGCTGGTGAACTAAACTCTTGTCAAAATACTGTGTGCATGCATTATCATAACTAGAGTATTTGTTCAGGTGGGTCAGCAGGGCCATCAGCCTGATTCCAAACAGCTGCTCAGAAATGAAGAAAAATATCTAAGATATTTCTTACTCTGTGATAAATTCAGCATCCTTCTTTTTGTCCCAATTTAGGGACATGTACTTTTAAAGCCAGCCAGAAATCCGGCTCTCAACTCTCCATAAAGGATCTTACCTGAATATAGCAGGAATTCTGTGGGCACTAGAAAACCCACAGAAGTGTCTGGAGAATCTTCAAGTGTGTCTCCCTGCTTAGGGAAATACATGACTACATTGACATTGCTTAGCTAATAATTTGGGGGTATTTATGCTTTTCAACTAATTCCCCCAAGTTTTGCCTGCATTCTGCATGTGTTGGTCCCACTGCAATTGGCCAAAAAATTTTGCAGTGTGCTCCCCACCCCCTCTGTGCAGAGAACTTGGCAGCTAAATTGCTGTGAGGGGAGTTGGTTTAGCAAGTTGATCTGAAGGGAAACCACTCTCCTTTTTTTATTTTTTGTTTTCAAGTTGGTTTTCCACTGGGGCAACTCGCTGTGGGGCACGCAGCCCCTGTGTGCGGTGGCGTGAGGAAAGTGGTGGGAGTGTGCGAGCAGGGATGGAGGGAAGAGCAGGATGACTCCTTCTGAGAGCAGCCCACAGATCAGACACTTCAAACAAAACCCTGTGGGCAACCTCACAGGTGTGGTTCTGCAGCAGCAGGTCCTGCCTCTGACCTTGATGAGCCCAACCACAGCATCACAGGATGGTTTGGGGTGGAAGGGACTGGAAAGATCATCTTGTTCCAAGCCCTGCCATGGGCAGGGACACCTCCCACCAGGCTGGGCTGCTCCAAGCCCTGCCCAAGCCAGCCTTGACACTGCAATCCTGCTGTGGATTTCTGAGCCCCCATGCTGTGAAATCAAGTGAGGGGCAGTTCCCAGTGGGCTATCAGCCCCCTGACCTGGCCACAAGAGACACAACAAGAGAAGAGATGAGAAAGTGGCAAGTGAGATTTGTACTGGATTAAGTTGTTGCAGAGTTATGCTAATTCAGTCTTTTACTCCCATCACTGCCAAAACTGGGGAAATCCAACTCCCAGGATACTTGTAGACATTTCCAGGAAAGGTTTCTGCTGCTATCCCATTCCTTCTGTCCAAGCAGCAACTCAGACTGCTGCTGGGAATTACAAAAACTCAATATAAAAAGAAAAAGGGCAACTATCCAAATAGATTCATCATGTGATGACTGGGAAGCAAGACTGGGAGGGACACAGAAGGGGAAGACTGCTTCTCAGAAAGAGATTTTTTTGGAGAAGAAAATAAAGCTCCAACACAAAAGCAAAGGCAGGACAGGACAAACAAAACGCCGTCACCCTGCCAAGAGAACCAGCTGATTTCCACTCACCATTGAAAGGGTTAATTTTCTTTGAGATTCGTAAAGAAATGGATTCCTTCAGGTCTTTCTTCTTCACACACTGAATGCCCAGGTTCTGAAAACTGAAGCATATGTGGCAAGATTTCAGCAACTAATAACATCTTCAGTGTGGACTATTAAATAAAATATTTATGGGAATTAGTGTGATAACATCCAGTGTAAGAAATTTTATAAAAAAGCTTATTTTGAGAAGGGTGTACAAGACCTGAAGAGCAAAGATGCTGTTTTGCCTAAAGTAAGGGCAGACACAGAAGCAAAAAAACCCTAAAATAAAATTCTAAATCATTTACATTCTTAAAAATATGTATTTCTATATTAAAATTTATTACTCTGCAGTAAATCTACAGCAATTAAAAAGCAAGATACTCAGTCCTGGGTGATTTATAATGACAATAATTTTTGTAATCAATTAACCTGGTAATTTGCATTAGTTAAAGGATTTGCTCTCCTCCTTTTATCAGGGAATGTAAACCTTAAACACTATTATAAAGGGGTTTTTTTAACAGGTCAAAACAGGTTTTTAAATCTCACATAGTTATGGAAAAGTTCTGAAGAGCTGCAGCTCCTCCTGATTTGCATAAAAGTGCAGGTCACCCTGATGCAGGAGGTGGGGGGAGTCCCAGGCAGGCTGACTCTTTCCCACATGGAAAAACCATGACATCATCAAAGCTGAGTGGATGTAAAGCAGGAAGTTAAAAAAAAAAAAAAAAAAGAAGAAAAAAAAAAGAGAAATAATCTGTGTTTCATGATGTTACAGTAAGCTCTGAAGATGGGTTGTGCCAGCAGGCATCTTTCTCCAGAAGCCATTTCCCTTCCTTTGAAACTCCACAAACCTTCTTTGCTTCAGCAAAGGAGCATCTTACTGCACTTAAAGACAGTCCTTGTTCCTGCCAAGAGTGCTTGTACACTTCTGAACAAGCCTATCCTAGCACGATGTTACATTTATTTCCCTAAACTCCCCTGTCTGTGCCCAACACGCTGTGCTCAGAGGTTCCCAAACCCTCTGCCATCAGGCTCCACTTCCAGAACCTCTGCTCACTGGAACAAGGCACAGGCTTCCTTTGCAAACTGAACATGGCATGACCTAGGGGAAAGTAAAACACAGCAGCATCTCCTCATTCACTAAAGCACTTTGCCTTCCTATCGTGGCTACTGACATTCAGACTGGGACTGTACCTTGATGAGCAATCCCAGTTCCACCTGCTCCTGGAGGAAGTACTTTCTTTAGGGCTGGATCAAGCACACATTATTTCCCCCCCCTCAGAACACCCCCTGTACTCCACAGATTGTTTGAAGCATAAAGTCCACAAACAGGGGCAGCTCCTTATTACACCCCCAAACGAAGCCTCCCGTGGACAGGAGGCTTTCCAGCAGCCCGAAACTGCCAGGTTATCAATGTTTTCAAAGGCTGTGCTGTCACAGTGGAAGTGTGTGTTTAGCCATGCCTAGGCAGAGCTGGGTCAGAGGAGGAACTGCTGAGAGCCCCAGCAGCCTGTGGGGTTTCACATCGATGGGCGCTGACAGGAAGCAAGTGAGATAACGAGAAGAGAGAGGGAGAAGTAGGAAGAGAGAGAGAGCAAAAAAAAAAATTAAAAACAGCTAAAAAAACTATGATATCATCCTCGTAGAGAGAAGAAACTAGGAAGTAAAAATCTGAGTACACAGGCAGTCCCACAAGCTCTGACTTTCCTGCTCTTGCCTTGATGTCTCGGCCAGGGAGGGCTCTGATCAAGTTTGGGCAGCAGTACAAAGATCATTATACCACAGGCAGAACAAAATGCTTGGGAACTTTAAAACATGGGGAACTTTGAACAGCAGAAAGCAGAGTAATTACTCAGAGCAGCCCAAAATCTGTGATTAATAATTCCACTTCTACTGAGGGGGGAAAAAAAAAAAAAAGGATTTTTGCTCAATTTGGGATGCTCAGCAAGAGCAAAGAGCCAGAAACACTATTGACAGAGGACATCTCCTGCTCACTAATACTGGATGAGGCTTTTCTCCAACACGAAGAGAAGAATGTGAAGGTTGAGTCACCAGCCACAAAAAGGAAAATGACTTTAAACATCCAGATCCAATTATGGATCATACTGTTCTTTCATCTTAAAGCAACCAATGATTTGTTAAAAAAAATGAGTGTACCGATGCTGGAAACATTTCAAAGGGAATGTGTCGAGCCTCCTCCCATCAGGACCTCCAATGTCAAACACAGAGCTCACAGTTTCACATTATCAATAAAATGAAAGCAGCCCACTTGCTATTCTGTAGGCAACTGAGAGGCTCATATCTTAAAAATATTGAGAAGAATTCATGGATGGAGCAAACAAGCACCAGTGCTCGAAGCGAAAGAGAGGCATGGCATTATGCCAAAGGACAGGATTTGATGCAAACATACAATGGGGATGAAATCACAATCTGCAAATAAATATCTGCAGAGCATCCCAGTGCTTCTTGGCCTGACATCCTGCAGTGGCCTCTCTAACAGGCTCGTGCCTCCACACTGAGCCTTGTGCAAGCACATGCCAAGAGGAGAAGCAATCCTCAGGGTCTTCCTGCACTCAGTGATGGGAACACAGGGCCAGAAAAGGCACCGAGCAATCGGGCTCTTCTGCTTCGGATCAGCAGGCTCAGAGCTGAGGGGAGGAAGTGGGATGGGCCAGAACAGCAGGCTTCCTTCCACCTTGGCTGAGGAGGCTTCTGAGAAGGCCAAGGGGGAGCTGGTGAATGGATGGTCAGAGGAAGGTGCAAGGTCCTGCTGGAGTTTAGGGTGTTTGGAAGTCAGCGTGCCCCGTGCCACCGGAACACGCCGCAGCACATCCATGATCCCTTGAGCCTGGGCTGGATGCTGAAGAAGCATCTCCATTGTTTATTTCACCATCAGTGCAATAAATCACCGCCTTCAAAACAGATGTGCCTTCAGCTCTCTCCTTTAATAGTGTCCTACTGACTAAACCCATGTAAACATGGATTAATTTCACCAACACCAACAGAATCCCATTGGCCTGAGAGCTGTGTGTAAGAGCTACTTATACACTGAAATATTCACCTGATTTTCTTCCCAGCTCAGTTATGCTTACCCCAAAGCAATAGCCTACTTCCATATTTCCTACATTGCAAACTGTGAACCACAAACAGCTTGCCAGTTCTCAATTCCCCTCTCCAGCAATAATCACTCCATGTTTGCTGCAGCTTATTCTGCTTTTATTTTGCTACATGAGACTTGGTAAACTTAGAGGAAACACCATCAAATACAACTGTATTTGAGATATTCTTAACAGCACTGAGAGATGTCTTGTACACATCGTGAGTTTTCCTCTCTGCATCCACAAGCAGATCTTTCCCTGGCACACTTACTCTTCAGAGCTGGGCCTGAGCAGAATCTGTATCTTCACTCAAAAAACCCCAACCCAAACAACAAGCAACAACAGTGACAGCTACTAACATTTCTAGATGTGTCACAAGCACTGTCTTCTAGATTACATGATAATCAGCCACTACAAACTTTCTCCAGAAAGTCCAAATATAATTTCCATGGAAGGTGTGAACTTCCCTCATCACCATGAAGTACAAATTCTCATGCTGTTACCCTTTCTATTACTCATCATTTTTACATGTAGGAAAGAGTCATGCTCAAGAGTAAGATGTGTTAATGAAAAAGGCTAAAAAAAGTGAGATAAAGGAAAAGAAGACAGACATTGGGAGAATGGTTGAAGGAAAGAAAAGGGTGACAAGAAAGAAAAAGCACACACGTAGTATCGAAAAGAGAAGGAAATACTTCCAAAGGAAGTTTCCCGGGATGGATTAGTAAACTACAGCAAAGACAGCATTATAATTGTTCTTTTAATCATTAATATGAGCTTTAAAACACAAGATTAGCAAATCACTTGCACAATTCATCAAACTCCCAAGCAACACCATTACTCACGACAGGACTCGCCGTTCTGGCCCGAACTCAGCTTCGTAGTAGCCATCCCTGCAGTCTTTTCCAACCAGGTCATGGGGGTGTGGCTTGTAGGGTTCATTCTTCGTTACCAACGTGGTTCTTATTTTGATTTTTCCAAAATAGTTCAGAATCTACAAAAAAAAAGTGGGATATTTTCAAGGTTTTAGGTGTCGGCCCCCACCTGTTACAGAAAATGAATTTTATCCCGAAATGCTCTACGGAAGAAACACCAGAGCTACACAGGTGACCATACAGCAATGCTGCCTGGAGAACATGTCTACCTCCAAAGATTTTAGGGAAAAAACTCATAAAGCCTCGGGGATGAGGATACTACCTGTGCATGGAACACTAAGTAGTGAAAGAGGATCTTAGCAGATACAGCATGGCATGACACAATCCCCTCTGAAGCTGTTGGGTTTTTCCCAACTAATTCTCAGATGAGTACTCAATCTTACACTCAGGCTCAAAGTCTCAAGCTCCTACCAGAGCTCTCACAGCAGTCATCAGCCAATTCAGTGCTCCTTTCTCAGGTGCATGAAAGCAACCTCAAGCTGATGGCTACCAGTGAAGTCACCAAGTCCGGGGGAGTGTAAAAGGAAAAAAAAAAAAAAAAAAAAGGAGGAAAAATAGTTTGGCCTAAATTGTTTGACACATAAAAACTTGAAAGCAAATATGAGACTTACTCAGGCACACGTTTGTGCAGAGGTGAGCTTTCCTCCTCCACTTCCCCTGCCCTGTAAGTAACAGTTCCTCTCCTTCCCCTCCTTTCCCCCTCCTGAGACTCCAAAGATCCACCATGTATCCTTTTCAGTCAACACTTCAAATCTTTAACTTGAACTGTGCTCTTTTACCTGTCATCATCTGTTTGCATCAATCTTCAATGTGGCTCCATTCAGTCCTCAGGCAAGCCACTGTAACTTTTTACCCTTAAAATGATACTTCCACTGCTCCCCCACTTTCTTCAACCATTACATCATTTCTGCCTCACTTTACACCCAGCCCCACGAACATGAAGCCTGATCTAGCTGCTTTTGGTTCTCCAGTTCCCCTTGATGTTCATCTTCATAACCACACCATGAAATTTAATCTCCTCCTGGCCCTTCTCTTCATGTTTCCATCTCTAGAGGGGACTCCCCTGGAACTTAATCAGCACTAAAGCCTCCCACGGGCTTCAGGGAGGCAGGAATTCACCTAGAAATCACCTGCTATCAGTGCCATCAGCTCTGTCATCAATAGTCACCTTTCAAAAGAACAAACTTGGCCAGGCTTGCATGGTCACATACCCATGTCCCACCTCCCCTTTGGGTTCTGCCTGGCCTTCATGTGCAGCACAGCCCAAGAAGAGAAGAATCAAGGCTTGATTCAGCCCATTCAGCTTGTGCCCTGACACAGACTCAGGCTGGGAGTCTGTGCAAGCCTCTCCTCTTGCCAACAGCCCACACAGTTCCTTGTTCAATTGGCAGAGTGCTGAAAAAATGAGTCTGGCACCGTCTCCATTTCCTGCATTCCCTAACCAAGTCTGGCACTGTGATAGTCAAAGGGAACCCTTCTTTGCTTCTTCCCTTAGTAATTCTGGCTCCAGGGCTGGACCAGCTTCCACAGCTGCTTTTATGCAATAGAGACTCACTCTGCTGCTCAACACATGACTGCCAACACTCTCCTTTCTCAAACCCTCCCTCTTAAAGAGCTTTTTTGCCTCGGCATAAAACATCTCATATTTGTCACATTTCACATCTTCTCTATCTGTCAATTTCCTGCTGTGATTCCAGAGACTCTATTTTGGGCTCCCCATTTATTTTTTTTTTATGCTGGCACACTCTGCAAACACAGATGCACAACCTCTGTTCCTGGGCAGGAAGATGGCAAGTGTTCTTAACTTCCCATTTAAATTTGAGCTTTCTCCTCTAATCTCAGCTCTGACAGACTTCCTCCAAACTGAAAGAGATCAAGGAAATGCTGGCAACTTAAACATCAGAAAGGCCATCAGAAATTATTTTCAAAAATATTTTCTCTTACCCTACCTGTCTAGGGTCTCCTTTGTCCAACCTATGAAAGCTACTGCCCAAGAGGTTCCATTCCAGCTCTACTGTCTCTGTCTTTGTCCCTGCTTTGGTCACAGCTGTCAGGGCTCCTCTGATCCCTCCATTCTGGATTTCCCAAGCCATCCATCGTGCAACCACCCAACTCATCACCACTGCAGATGCTCAGAGGACACAGTTCCCCCTTCTGAGCTAATTTTTAAGTCTTGACTTCACACACTTCAGGCTGGTGTCTTTTGCAGAGCCCGTTCTCCCCATCACAGGCGATTGTTCGCTCGCACAAAGCGCCTTCTTTCATGTTGTGCCCAGCAACGTTTCAAAGCCTTTCCACGTTTTGTAGGCAAATTCCTTCAACGCTCTCCCAAAATCCGTGCTGCAGTCCAAACCTTAAAACCAAACCCACGTCACCTAACTAAGAAAGCAGAGCAAACGTGCATGCAGAGAAAGCTACTAATGAATGGCTCCCAGCCCTCGAGTCTTCGCTGCGTCCCCTCTAGCAGCACTTTGTAAACCACCTCTGCACCTTCTTCCCTTGCTGTAAACCAAATCTTTTCGTGACCAGGAGCAAGTAACTCTTTTCCCACTCTGCTGCAACTCCATTTGCATGCCAAGGAAAGAATCCCAGCAGGTGAGATGAAAAGCATTGTATTTACTGTGCAGAGTCCAACACATAGCTACGAGCACCGCGCTAGTGTGGGCAATGGTAATTCCCGGATAAAAGCGGTATTTACCTGGATGGAAGGGAAGGTCTTATTGTTTTCAGTACTGTGTTCTCCTGGAATGCTGCCTGCTGATCTTCCCTCACATTTGTATCTGAAACGCATGCCCCTTTGCCTGGGTTGCTCAAATATTTCAATGTAGGGCTCAGGGCCACCTTAAAAATAAAATATTTTCAACGTTAGGACACAGTAGAGTTTAAAAAGCAGCAGAAGAGGCAAGAGTTAGAATTTCTAGACTTTTGACTCACATTACCATCTTTCCACTTGGTCTACCCTATCAGGAAATCTACTCTTTATTTTTATGTACGTGCACATGTTGAAGGTGGGGTACAAGGGAAGAGAACAGATTTGGATGAAACATCCACAGTATCAACACCATGGAAGTAATTAGCAAAAAAAGACACCCTTCCCTCCATCTCATCCAGAACTTAGCTTCTTATAACCATCGTCAAAGACGTGTCTGATGAAAGAAGACTTTATACAACAAAACCCAAATCATTATTCAACATTTTTAGGAATAATACAGTTATAAGAATGGCTGTCCCCTCCAAGCACTGGTACTGTCAACTGCTGTGTTCTCTTAAGCATCCTCTGAAAGGGAAGATGTTTGCTCAGAATTCATTGATTTAGTTCCTATCACAGTGCAGCAGAAACTATTCAAATTATGCAAAAAAACCCCCATGCTCCTACTGGGTGGAATACTATCACTGTGAGCTCAAAAAATACCTGATTGCTCGTACTGAATTCTACATTTTGAGCTGCCCATCTCCCATGGGGCTGGTTTCTAGTTGCAGTATCTCCCCAGACAAAGAAACCTCAGAAAAGCTATTGGGCAATTGTCAGAAGGGAGGTTTTCAGGAGACACAGAGTGATAGCTGAGCATAAGAGACAGCAGAACTCTTAAATGGGGGGATTAGAAAGACATTACCTTAGCAAGAGCCTAAGTACTTTTCAAGTGATGTTTTATTGCCAGACAGCAACAAGCTATTTCATATATCTCACTGAGAACATCAAACAGGACAGTCAATCAAACAGTGACAACAGTGGGATGGCATGTGAAAAGCAAACAACAGAGGCTAAGTAAATATTGTTGAAGTTGAATCATCACGGTGCTACACAATCAGAAGAACGTAGCTTATGGAAATGTCTACTGTGCTCTCTGTCATCTTCATGTAATAGCATCCTCCTCAAGCAAGGCTGAGCATCACAAACAAACAGGACAGACAATATCCCGTGGCACAGCACTGAAAAAAAAAGTGCTTGGACTTCAACACAAAAAGCAAAACAGTTATTAAATATATTGAAAGTGCTGAAAGGGTAAAAGAACCCCTACTTCCTTTTGCCCAAGGTCTGTGCTGCCTGTGAATCCACAGCACGCGGGTTTTGGCAGAGGTGGATTCCAACCCTAACTCCATAATAAAGGCTTCTCTTTTGCTGCACCTACAATGGTTTAGGCACCTCTGCCAACACGAAGCTTGAACTTTATGCCTGGGATTTGTTGATTGCAAAAGATTTCCAGTGCTGCAGCAGCTCATACCCAAAGTAGGAAAATATTATAACCTAAGAGTTAAAGTAAGTAAGAGCAGCAGAGAAGGGATGGATGGAAAAATGACATGTGAGACATCACCTCAGCCTGACCTGAATGTACATTTATCTGTCACACACCTACGAGCAGGGGAGGAACTGCACCTGCAGCTTCGTGAGAGCAGCTCTTATGCTGGGATGGTCTCCAACAACCAGAGCCTCTGCAAAACCTTCAAAAGCACAAGGCACTTCCACTGGAGACTGTGTGTGCGGTCAGAACCTTTGGGAGCTGTGGTTCAGGGCTCTTTATAGACCTTTCTAACAGTCAAAATGCAGTTTATAAACTGATCACCTCCCATCAGGTAGATTTTAAATAACTTTCTGAGCTGTCACATTAAATACACATTAGCTACTAGTCTAGGTGCAGTTCCTCAGGGGGATAGTCCCTTTTCTAGATACTCCTAGCTCTTTACCTAACGCTCCTTTAGATGAGCTTTGCATATTTTCTTTCTGGAAAAGAAGCAAAAGGGAAGGGGAAGGCAGGCATTGATAACAAAAAAGCCTAGAAATGACGTAAAGCTGGTTTCAGAGAGAGCAGAAGTCTGGGCTTCTCACAAAACCATGCTCACGCATCTGTGTATGGCTGTTTTAACTTTCACACTTCAACTTACTTATGCTATTCATTAATCAGCTCAAATACAGACATGTATCCATATACTAAAGTAAAAATCTGTATTACAAGTTAAAATGACAACATGGCAGCAGCATTATTGCCTACTAACTTAGCACTAATCTGGGAGATTCTCATGCTTACATAGCTGCTAAGCAGACGTGCAGGACACCCACAGACACTGTGTATTTGTCAGAAGCAGGCAGAGCCTCGCCACTCGAAGCTACAAGAGCGTAATCACTTGAGGTCTTTAACTCTTGCTGCTTTAACCAACAATTTCCCTTCACGTTCTATCAACACTCACTTGAGAGGATTATTTTCTCACCTCTCAAGAGCCCTTTATTTTAAGGCTCGGGGCTCAGTGATCTTTACAGGGCTGTGGTCGAAACAAATGCCATTGAAGGTAAACCCACTGCTCAGCCAGCAGCAGGTGTGTTTGTGGGAAAGTAAAGCTCGGTGACGCGGCAGCCTCCAGAGATTAAACATTAAACTTCATCTCGTCTTGGCTGCCTCTCTCTCTATTCAGGAATCACGTTATCACCTCTGCCGTGATTATCCGTGTCATCATGCTTTGTGTAGAGGAGAAAACACACACAGAAGTGTTTGTGAGAATGAGAGGTATTGCCAGCACTCTGCAGCCAAGCGTCCGGTGTTCCCTATTTCTGTAAATCAGCAATGTGCTTGTCAAGTGGCACAGCTTAACTGTGTCACAATCTGCTCTCTCACACACACAGAGGTCTGTTAGCTCCCACAGTCACTACAGACCTGCACTCCTCAGGTCTCGCTTTGTGTGTCAAACAAATGTGAGATATGCCCAAACCCAAACTCTAATTCTGGAAGAGAAACACACAGCTATTCCTATTTATTACCTGCCTGCCCACAACTACTCCATAAAGCATTTGAAATGAAAGAAAAGAAAAAAAAAATCTAGCTAATCCTTCATCTAAGTTCTTAAGAGTTTAATTTGTCTTTGTAATTAATTCTAATTGCCTATACACATGCTAGCAATAGAAACATTGTGCTACACATTATAACCTGCCTGCCACTTTTTGTTATTGAATTGCTTTTTCCCCCTCCTGCCCTGAATACAACACTGAATAATTTTAGAGAGAATATAGGAGATCAAGTGTCCCGATTATATATGCAAGGAAAAGAGGCAAAAGCAATGACAGCTCAGAGAGTTCAGCAAGGAGAAGAGGCAGAAGCAGTGACAGCTGTGAGAGTTCAGCCAGTTATGCTCATTCAAGAACTGAAGGGTTCTTGAATTTTGAGCAATACAAAGAGGAACAAAAGGACAATCCCTAGAACTCGGAACAGGCTTCCATCAGACCTCTCCATGACAAGAAACCTGTGAGAGTTTGAAGTTTAACACAGCCTGTGCCACGAGGGAGGAAGTGTGACACGCTGCCACCAAGCAAAGTGACAACCCGACCAAGGCTTCTGTCTCTTTCCTTTGCTCCAAGCAAGCAGGCTCTGGAGGAACTGCCCAATTTGTCATTCTCTTGCAGGGCCAGGAGTGCCCGGTGAACAGACTCTCCATCAACATGTGTGTGTGAAAGCAGAGCAGCTGTGGCTCTCTGTGGAAGATGTGAAAGTATCACCCGAAACCCTCCGGCCCGAGGTGACTGCACTGAGACACAGATGGGAGAAGCATCGCTCCTGAACTCTGATGTCACTGCTCCCAACAAATCCCCGGTGGCACCAAGTCTGTCGTTTCTAAAAAGCAAGGATCTACCCACTTGTAACCTTCTGCAACACCTCGGGCAAAGCGGGAGGACGGCAAAAGCTTTGTCACATCACACCCCAATTTAAGCAAAAGCAACTGGAAACATAACACGATTTGATTTGAAAAAGCAGTAGTGTACCTACGGCTCCTTAAACTGCACAAATTCTAATAGAGACCAAACAACGCTCAGGAACTTCCTCTTTACTATCGCGTTACATTACAAAACGGCAACTAAAAGGAAAAAAAAAAAAAACCGACAAAAGCTAGCTAGTACCAGGAAGTTATAAACTTCCCCCGCTGAAAAAATTCCTTATCTGGTTCCTAATTACACTGAAAATACATAAAGACGAAGGAAAAAAAAAAAAAACAAACAAAAAAAAAAAAACCAAACCCGAAACTGCTCTGCCCTGCTTCATTGTTGCGACTTTAAAATACATCATAACATTTAAAGCACAAGCCCAGCTGTTTTCTCTCCTCGTTGATAGTTACACACCTATGTATTTATCAGGAGTGAAAGTTCATACCTTGCTAAGTGGGAACAGAACACACACTCACGTTCTGAAAAGCTGCTTTGCCTAGAAATACTACTCTAATTAGTACAGCCAAGTTTTAAATTTAGGGGCTTTTTTTAACCCTAAGAAAGACACCAGAGGGACGCCTCCCGAAAGGATGACAAACTCGGTTTAATTTAGCCTCTAGAAACTTAATTGCGCATTTTGTTGTAATTACTCAAAGCACGATCCCTTATCTGCATTACTTTGCATCCGTGCCATCGCTATTTCTCATTCATTTGCATTCTCACAGCCGAGCTCCGACGCGGACGGGATCCCGGTGAGCACCACCCAACCTTCAGCCTGTTGTCTCCATCCCAGACAGGGACGCGGCGCTTATTCAACACCTAAACGCTCCCACCCATTTTTAAAACCTAAGAGACCCATTAGAAACAGAGCAGCCCCGTAAGATCTCATCGCGGCTCATCGCCCACCGCAGCCCCGCAGCCCCCCGCTGCTCACCGGCCATGCTGACAGCTCCGCTCCGGCCTCTGCGCCGCGGGGCTCCGGCCCGGGCCCGCACACCTCGCAGGGACACACGGACGGCCGCGGCTGCCGGGCTCGCCGCCCTTTTCAGGGGGAATTTCCCGTGGGGCGGGCGGGAGGACGTGCGCGCCGAGCCGCGGGGCGGTGCGGGGCCAAACCCCGCCCCGGCCGATCCGTCCCGCGGCACCGGGACACCCCGCTCCGGGAAGGGCAGGCACAAGGCTGGCCGGCGGTCCTGCCCTGCCCGGTAGCCAGAAGTACAAAGGAAAAATTCATCTGTGATTTCAGAGCAGCGAGAGCGTGTTCCACGCCGTGGGCATCGCCCCGACATCTCCGCTCCGTCAGCCAAGCGCTCTCCTTATCCATCTTTTTCTCGGTGGTCAGCCCGGGGAAGGGAAAGCTCCAGGCAAGACTGTACTGCAGCCTTCCAGTGCTTACCTAAGCCCCTCATGGGGTTTATAAGATGGACAAGGATAGACTTCCACCAAGGCCTGTAGCGACAGGGCAAGGAGGAATGGCTTCAGCTGGCAGAGGGCAGGGTTACATTAGATACTGATAAGGAACTCTTTACTGTGAGGGTGGTGAAGCCTAGCCAGAGAAGCTGGCGATGCCCCATCCTTGGAAGTGTTCTGGGCCAGGCTGGATGGAGCTTGGAGCAGCCTGGTCTAGTGGAGAATGTTCCTGCCCAAAGCAGGGGCTCGGAACAAGACGGGCTTTGAATGCCCCTTGCAGCCCACTCTGATTGAATATCTAAGCTGTACATACTAGGGATAGACCAAGACTGCAGGTAAGGTAAGAAATAATCACCAACAAGCCCATTCAGTCACAATGATCAGCTCTAAATCTACCAAACCTTCGGAGCATCCCAGACCCTGCATCTCACAGCTTGGTGAAGCCAAGGAGCTGGACACTGGGAACAGCCCCATGTTTGGATCAGGTGGAGAGGTCAGTGACAAACAAACAAATCTGGGGGCAAATTAAAAAACACCTGAAAAAAGAGGAACAGGAAGGCCACACCTAGCTGTGGTGTAAGACTGCTTAGTTAACAATAAAATTTAAATTTTTTTCTTAGATCTTTAATCTGAGAGTGGAATAAACTGTCCTGTGTGAAAATGCAGTTAAATCAATTAGTATCCCTGAAAAAGAAAGATTAATAAAACTATAAGAAACGCCTGAAAGAACACTCAATTGAGGTACAAAACCAATAGGTTTTTGCTTTTTTCCCCCACTATCCTATTTCTAAAGCTAAGGTTATTGGGATGTACAGAAATGAAGAACAGCTGAAAATGCTGTTCTATAATCTGCAAATTCACACTCCAATCCATGTAAGTAAGCAGAAGAGGCTGCCAAATGCTTATTATTCTTCCTGATCTGTAGTCCATCTCAACAAGACTTTTCTTTCTAACCTTAGTTTTGGCTCAACTATCCTCATATTTCCTAGAAACAAAAATTATCTTTCTCCACCCCACAACAAAACTTTCTTTATTAAAGATTCACGGTTTGCCACATGGTAGGATTGTTGCACCCTGTCAAACTTATAACTGAAATTGGAGTAGAAGAATTCTAGGGAGAACACAGGATAATCAAAATGTCTGTGACATGAGCCTTAGATGATTGAAGAGAAGAACAACTACATTATTCAGATGTTATAATAAAATCATTCTATGGCTGTGGGTTAGTTTCTTGCCAGAATAATGTAATTTCTTATTTTCTTTCCCACAAAAAAGCCAAAACTAAACAACACAAAATATATAAACCAGCAATGCCCTAAAAGTGTAAGAAATTCAGACTAGACTTTCACGTTTTCAGGGATTTCTTGGATTCCCTATGACTGATAACGTACAATAAAGCAGGTCTAATATTTTAAATCAAATTTAGACTTTACCTACATGGCCACATGTGACCACAAAGCACAAACTGACAAAGAGACCACAAATAAAATTGTGCTGCTCTACAACTAAGGCAGTAAATAGGAAAAGTGCACAACCCGAATTCTCTCTGCTAAGTGCCCCATCCCAACAATCAGCTCATCAACACCTCATATTAGAAGATACTTTAGTTTTTAAGTTGATCACCTGGTGGTGGGAGTTTTGTACAAGCCTTTATTCACAGGGCTGAACAGCCAGAGAAATGCTCCCAGTCTGAGGGCATCCCTGCAGATCACAGGAGTGACCTGGACAGGATTTTTAAAAGGAAAGTTCAGCAATTCCTGTGGGATAGCTGAAGCTGCAGATGTGAGTTTTGACTTTGGATGTAAAGGTAAACTAAATACTTTCCCTTACTTATCTCAGGCTGGTATTCCAAATCTCTGATAGTAAAAACTGTGACATCTCAGAAAGAATTTATTTAGTTCCTTCCCTAAATACAGTTTATATCCCTGGTTCCCACCTATTTCTCCCGCGACACTACTGAGTAAACACAGACCAGAGGACCAGGGAGACTGGCTCAAAACAGAAGTATCTATTGATTTCTTCAGAAGGAAAGTGTTAGTGTAGGGTACACGATCTAAACCGATGTGAAATTAAGGGCAGTATTCCAGGCAATACAAATACTGTGTTATGACTAAAACATAGTAAACATTCCCTACTTTTCCCCAGCTCTTTTGAACTCTAACTCTCAGGGCTTGCAGGAACAGGCTACTCAAAGATAATCCTTAAGATTGCACGTTTGAAATTGGGGTGGTATCTCACACACACAGCAGGGTCTTTGGTACAAACTGCTCCTTGATATTATTTTAAAGAAAAAATACAAATGGCTCCTTGATATTATTTTAAAGAAAAAATACAAATGGATTGCACTTCTTATAGCATCCCAAAAGCTTTATCTCTCTTCCTTGAAATGAAAACAACTTGTGATAAATAACCAACCATGTGAAGAGTTGCACTGTGTAAAACCTGTGAGCTCCCATCATCAGAATACACAGATCTGGCTCAGGAGGATCTGAACAAAGTGACTGGAGGAAGGACAGCACGAAAAGGAGATGTTTTCTTGATGTTTTTTCTCTAGCAGTAGCCACAAGCAATGGCCAGGGAAAAGCACAACAGTGGGACAAAAGGAGGTTTTAGTCTAAGACCAGCATAGCTGTTTTTATAAAACAGTCTATGGAAACCAAGAAGCCTTCCAAGAAAAAGGCAAAAACCTAAGCAAATGGAAGAGGCCTTACTCAAAGTTGTGCAAGCATGAGGATATTCCTCTATTCCTGACTACCCTGTATGCAACTCTGCTCTGCTGCCATCGGAATCCCTGGCACAGGAATTATCCCGGGAGAGTGAGGTGAACGAGAGGATTGCAGTACAGCTTTGGCAATCACAGAAACCTCATCAGCAACTGCCATGAAGTGTAAGAACATGTCATAGCTTTGGGTATATGCAGATCTCTGCAAAAAGCAGGACGGAATTCCCCTCCTGCAGCATTGCATAACAAAATCCAGGTGCTTCACTATTATTTTTGTCAGCTGACTTTGGCTATAGCCAGAGGCGAGATACCAGAATTCTTAGGCCAGTCTGATCCAGTGCTTCACTTCCTGTCTTCCAGTTAAAGCAAGTGTTTTAAGATCCCATTTCTCTCCACTTGTCAAGTCCAAAGACAAGTCCTTCAGTGGTGCTTAGCACAGGCATTGCCCAACGAAGCTGGCTGTGACAGGAGAGCAGCACAGGCGAGCCATTAAGTCTTTATTTCCTGTTCCCAGCTATCTGACTTGATCAAAGATAAGGCTCTTGTCACTGGCCTGGTTAAGCAGACACTAAGGTACTTTCAGCATATGGCTCTCCTAATAAGGTGCATCACTAGGAGCAAGAATAGTACTAATAAAGTCATTCTCTTCTCTCCTTAAGGAGCAAAGTTAAGTCCTGTTTTCTTGCCCACTCTATCTCAAGCTCACCTACTGCCAGATTAGAAATTTCCACTCCTCTATGCCTTAAGAAACTTTTTGCTGTTAGAAGTATGACTTTAATCTCAAAGGCGTCTTACTTAAACGCTGTCAGCCCTTTTGGTGGTTAAAGCTTTTGTGGTTATTGGTCCTGAGGAAGGCTCCAATGCAGAAGCCATTCTCAAAAAACTCATGGCTTCCAGATTAATGATAAACTCAAAGGTTGTTTAAGTCACTCTGCTGGAAGTGTTCCTGTACCACACTTCGAGTTTGTTTGACATTAGAACAATGCTACTGTGCCTCCCTCAAAACAGGGTGGAGAGAAAGGAAATGCTAATAGAGAAAGGTAGGTCTTGTGGATAAAGCACAAGGCTGTGATTCAGGAGACTGGAATTTGGCTCTTGGCAAGTCAGCCTTTCTACTCTTAGGCAAGTTGTTTAATTCTCTAAGCCTCAATTTCCCCAATAAAAATCAGAGAAGTTACTTCCTTGCTCCCACACTTCTGCCTTATTCACTCATGATGCAACTTCTTCAGGGGATGAACAGCTCATTACATGAAAGTGCCAAGCACAAAACAATGACAGTTAAATGAACGCTGGGGTAGTGCCAGAAAAAGTGTGCCCTTGACAGACTCTCTTGTCAGACAGTGTCCCCTCTCTGTCTCCATCCATCCAGGTAACTCACGCCTGTGCATTCCTACACTGTTCCAAGCACTCCTTTGGAGACACAGGAGCATGCTTAACAGTAATCTGGAGGAAACAAGATTATTGGTTTTTTTGCTGCTGGAGCCAGTTCCATGTGCAATCGCAGAAATGACGCTGCCAGCAGGAAGGAATGTGGTGGCACCAAGGCCAGAACAAGTTTCTGGAAGACAAATTTGGGCAGAGGTGCCTGCTTCCTGACAGAGTGCTAACGTCATGGAACTGTAGCACAACGCTGTATTTTTAGCCTGAGAAATTGATAAACCTCCCTGAAACGTATAATTCACACTCCTTCCTTTCCAGAGCTAGTGCTCAGAGCAGAACTTCTCAGGCACTTTCTCCCCCAGCTCCCTCAAGCATTTCCTATTCCCTTCCACTCATCCCAGTGCTATAAACACATACCACGGTTTGGGAGTTGCGTTATTTAACAGAGAAGAATTTAAATGTTTGTTGGCAGGCAAAGAAAAAGATGGAGTAGTGTTTTCATATTCCACTGTGCTACATAA